CCAAGGATGATGGCGGTAACACCAATCACGGCAACTCCACTAATCCATCCACTAATCCCGCTCCTTCCGCTTCCCCGGCCACTTCCACCAAGCCCTCAAAGGCCACTCAGATCGGAACTGTTCTAGGCCGCCCCATGGAAGATGTCCGCACCGTTTACTCTATTGGGAAGGAGCTGGGAAGGGGACAATTTGGGGTCACCCATTTGTGCACTCACAAGGCTACCGGCGAACAGTTGGCCTGCAAAACCATCGCGAAGAGGAAGCTAGTAAATAAGGAGGATATTGAGGATGTGAGACGGGAGGTCCAGATTATGCACCATTTAACAGGGCAGCCCAACATTGTGGAGCTTAAAGGGGCTTATGAAGATAAGCATTCTGTTCATTTAGTGATGGAATTGTGCGCTGGAGGAGAGTTGTTTGATCGCATCATAGCAAAGGGGCATTACACAGAGCGAGCCGCGGCCTCGCTGCTTAGGACAATTGTGCAGATTGTGCATACTTGCCATTCCATGGGGGTTATCCACAGAGATCTCAAGCCTGAAAACTTCCTGTTGCTCAGTAAGGACGAGGATTCTCCGCTCAAGGCTACCGATTTCGGGTTATCCGTGTTCTATAAACAAGGTTTGTCTAAGAACTTGACTGTTTCTGTTACACGCTCTGCAATGGCTGGCTGATGATCTCGGTTTTTTCTTGTTTTGGGGTCTGAATGTTGTTGTTATTTAACAGGGGAAGTATTTAAGGATATTGTTGGAAGTGCATATTATATTGCGCCAGAAGTCTTGAAGAGGAGATATGGACCTGAAGTTGACATTTGGAGCGTTGGAGTCATGCTATACATTCTTCTGTGTGGTGTTCCACCTTTCTGGGCAGGTAATTCAATAATTCTACTCATATCTCTGCTTGGTTTTTGTTTTTTGATCATTTGATGCGAGATAAGTGGATGGATGGCAGAATCCGAACATGGAATATTCAATGCAATCTTACGGGGTCACATTGATTTTACGAGCGACCCATGGCCTTCGATATCACCTGCAGCAAAGGATCTTGTTAGGAAGATGTTGAATTCAGACCCCAAGCAGAGATTGTCAGCCTTCCAAGTCCTAAGTAAGTTCATTCCTGGACTTTTGTTATCTATTCTAAGGGATTGAGTTGAAATAGGATAAGAAAAAACAGCTGTAGGACTGTTGCACCTATGAAGGAAAATCAGGAAGAGAAAAGGCAGCTCTATGGCCACCCAAAAATGACTTTCACTAAATCATTTTCTTTTTCTGTCAGATCATCCATGGATTAAGGAGGATGGAGAAGCACCTGATACACCACTTGACAATGCGGTGCTCAACAGGCTCAAACAGTTCCGCGCAATGAACAAATTCAAGAAAGTTGCTCTTCGGGTAAGCTATAAACGAATCCGCCTAATGTCAAACTAAACCCCCACCACCCTATAAGAAAAGAAGAGATGACAAAACAAAACTTCGACAAATATTAATACTGTGCCAAATGGGCAGGTGATTGCGGGCTGTTTATCAGAGGAAGAGATCATGGGGCTGAAACAAATGTTCAAGAGCATGGATACTGACAACAGCGGGACGATAACGCTCGAAGAGCTAAAGCAAGGACTCGCAAAGCAAGGCACAAAGCTCTCTGAATATGAAGTTAAACAATTAATGGAAGCCGTAAGTCCTTATCTGTCTGACCTCTCTCAATCCAACATGACATTCTTTCTTGAATCTGGAAATTACTTGTTGGTTTCTACAGGCTGATGCTGATGGCAACGGAACCATAGACTATGATGAGTTCATCACAGCAACAATGCACCTGAACAGAATGGATCGAGAAGAGCATCTTTACACGGCCTTCCAGTATTTCGACAAAGATAACAGCGGGTAATGAAATTACATTCCAAGTCAACTTTTGCTAAAGTTTTCACTCTGAAATGGAAAAGGAATTTCACTGACGATTGAACTTCTAATTCTATCTATGTTATGCATTCAGATATATCACTACGGAAGAGTTAGAGCAAGCTCTTAGAGAATATGGGATGCACGACGGAAGAGACATCAAGGAGATCCTTTCTGAAGTGGATGCAGACAATGTAAGTTTCTAAAATCGACTTCCTCGTATCGCTGCAATGGGGACACCGGAAACTAACGAAATATAACATGTTTTTGAATCTCTACAGGATGGCCGCATAAACTATGATGAATTTGTGGCTATGATGCGAAAAGGAAATCCAGAAGCGAATCCCAAAAAGCGTCGTGATGTCTTCGTTTAATTTCGGTTGTTGGGAGTGCACTGGAAGAGATGACAAGAACTACCACCTGAGTGTTTTGTTCTTCAGTGGAGAAACTAATATGAGGGTGAAATTTACAGGTGCTCGTTGTACATTATTTATGTAAAGAGAATGGGAGGGGTTGAAGCAAAGAGTGTTTGTCTCGAGCATGCATATATTTACAGTGTGAATGGTGGTTGCTTTCAAAGATAGAAAATCGCCAGAGAAAACAAAACAAAAGATAAAGAAAGGCCAATTTTACTCTAATTCTTAGGATTTAATGGGTGATTTTCTGATGTTTTTGGCTGTTCTTGTCCACTATTAGACAGAATAATTATTGTTCTTATGGTTGACTGACTGACTAGAAGCATGAATTTGTCTAAAATGAATGTCTATTGTATTTTGGAAAAACAAACAGAAAGCTAATAGTTATGAACCCAATTTGTGTACAACATAAATATAAGGTATCTAAAGGTTGTTTGGTTTAAACCCCTCTCAAGAATGGGCTGTATGTGGAAAATATGTATTGGATAATTGTATTATGTTTTATATGCCTTTGTTCACAATAATATCTAATGGTTGTCTAATGATTTATTAATTGATTGATTAATATATAGTTTTTACAACTAACACAAATACGTCACTTATTAAAGATTTTGAGATTTACCAATTTAATGATAACTCGACAATTCATAGATTCATATCTCATCTCGCTTGTTTACCGATGAGATTCTGGTGGGTGCCATGCTTGAGAAAAGGCAGAAATGGAAGTTGGAAAAGGGGTGATTATTAACCTTGAGAAATAGAATGAGAGATATAATTACAAATTCCATCCATATAATTTTTACCCATTCTGCAAATTACACTTATATTTAAAGAAATGGTTTCAAAAACCCTCATAAATTGTGAGAATTTGCAAATGATATATATTTTATCAAATAGTTCATCGCAATTGGTACAAATGTCATGCAAAAATAGACGTATAGCAATTCTATTAAAGTTAAACCTGATCAATTTAAAAAGTAGAAAAGGCATTGTCCATGAAATCGTAATATAACAACAAAGATGAAAGGGAGAACTTTAAGCCGAACAGGAAGATGCCTTCTTTCTTTCTCAAAGACGCTTCTTTTGTTCTCTTTCCAAATGCTCCACAGGAATTCCTAATGGCACAAATGAAAAGTACTTCCGTACTTAGTTTCCTCAAAACTTTGAAAGTCTTCCACAAGGATATTGTGAGAATGTGAAGTGGTATAACCAAATTAACATAGAAGATATTGTCCCACAAAACATCAACGTAACTACACAAGTGAAAGATATCCTCATCTTCACTCTCATTTCAATACATGATATACCTAATGCAGGGCAGAAAATTAAGGAGATCTTTCACACAGCATGCCTTCAAGATAAAATATTGAACCTTAAAAAACAAATTTGTGATACTCGATGCTACATGAAGTGCAAGGGCTTCTCTTGCACTTTTCAGATGGCACGGCGCAATAGAAAGTCCAAGCCAAAGAGAGGCAAAGCACACAAAGAGTACAAACAAAATAAATTACAATAAAAAGTATTGCAAATCTACCTTTAAGCATCGCAAATTGTAAACTTTCTATCATTTAGAGTTTCCATAAAAACAATCAGAGGAGAAAAAGAAACGATAAATTTGATTTGCCGGTTAATAAAAGAAAGGGGAAAATGGCTGGAACTTTGAACCTCCCTGAGATGTACTAAGGCACATAATCATGACAAAAACTAAGGGCACCTCGCACCTCTTTTAATGCTAAGAAGAACAGATGCATTCTTTCTAACCCATAGGTCGGTATCTGATTTGCAACAACTTCCTCTATCTAACTGTCTCAACAAATACCTTTTGAGTAACCCAAATAGATCCTAGACAAATTTCTACAAAGACATTGTCATAATAGTTGTCCAAACTTTCAATGTCTCATGCAACACATTCACTTCTTCCTAGCACACTCACGTGCATAAACACTGGTCTACCATTTATCAGCCTTTCAAAGAAAAGATGATAATCATCCTTCCATAAATAGACTGATATGTTAAATGCTTAAAGTGCCAGGCCTGACTAGTAAGATGCCTGAAGGTTGCACAGCTCATCAAAATGGCAGAAATCCAATTTGTACCATCATTTCTATTAGAGCCATCATACCAAGCTTAGTTGTGCCTAGTTAACAACGTTGAGGTGAAATTATACTTAGCATTCTTTAGTATGTCAACACATTAAATAACTTGCACATTACTACCAAGGTTAACAGCTTAAGACGTGAGGACCATCAGGAATACTTCTTCCACTCGCAGTGGGTGATTTTACAGGCTAACCGATCCCAATTATATAAAATAAATGTAACCCAGGTGAGAAAATCCTGATAGGCGTTAAGGATTGCTTACAATTTGATTATGATTTACGTAACTTCCAACAAAGTTAATTGTCCAAACATAAACATGCCATGATAAGAGCATATAGAGACTATAAGAAAAGTACCGCCAATTTAAGAACAGATAGTAATCGTCGCCCACTCATGGCCAACAATTAAGTCAATTAGTACAGCTATGAAACCCTAGAGCTAGAGTGAGCTTCAAATTACACACAATTCGACCCAATTCCAGGATTGCTTGTGGAAATCCCAAGTAAAAGAAATTTCGTAAGACACCTTTTACTTATCTTTCGTGGAAACACCGTATTTCTCCTGCATCCTGGCGATTTCATCCTCTTTCTTCTTCTGGTCGAACTTTTTGCTCATCTTGGCCTGCTGGTAGTACAACACGATCAGATACCGATTCGCAACGTTGAAACCGGAGAGGTGATCCACCGCCGTCTTAGCATCGTAGATATCCTCGTAGACAACGAACGCTGTACCTCTAGTATCCTTGTTCGTCCCAATCCGAATCTGCCGAATCGCGCCGTACTTGCCGAAAATATCGTACATCTCCTCGCTGGTTATGTTAAACGGCAAATTTCGGACATACAAAACTCTGTTGACCTCCGGCGGCAGCCTCGTGTTTCCCTTGCGGGGAAGGCTGAACGTGGCCATGGAGGTTTCTTACGAGGCTGTTTGGGAGAAACGGAAGTGCGAGAAAATTCGAAAAGCCAGAAACTGTGCTATTTCATTTCAATTCCTCGTTCGCCTTGTGTGTGTGTGTGTGTGTGTATTTAACTTTGAAAGTCAATTATATGGCCCAGGCCCAGCGATTGAAGGACTCAATTCCATTAAAAATGGGCCTACGCGAGTTTAGCCCATACCATTTTGGGCTTGGACAGCTTGGGGAACCAGTGGGCTGGTTCCGACCGGCCCATTCGGCAAGTTGCCTGTCCGGGCTGTTCTCTTCTTGGGCTGGGCCATATTTTTTAAAATAATTTATTAAATGAAAATTTACTCAAATATTTTTTAATATTACTCCACGACATTTCCTTGGTTCAAATTTGAAGTTTTTCCAATGTTTCAACTATTACCTTAATCGAAATTCGGTTTTTTTTAAAAAAAAAAAACCTTATTTGAAATATTGAAACTTTTGAAATTTAAAACAATGGTGTCGTCAATATAAAGAATAAAGATAAAATTTGACAAATTGTCTCATAAATATTAGTGAAAGTCAAATAAGAGGAAACATGAAAAATGCCTACCTGAGACTAACGAGTTTGATGATGAGATAACATGATCACTCAACTAATTATACCGATCAATAGGTCTTAGGTTTGAATCTCCATCCCAAATATCGATATATAACGATTATAACGATTATGTTATAAATGACCAACGGATGACAGATCTTTAACCTCACCCAACTAACTAGTTTTGCCGACAATTTTATAATACACCCAACGATTGTTGAGTGACAAATGTGGTTTTAGTGGCGATTTTGGATAAGTCTCGATATTTTGGCACAAGAAACGGTTTCTATTTCTCTCTCTCTCTCTCTCTCTCATACTAAATAAAGAAGAAAAGATCTGTCATCAGTTGGAAAACAAGAGTCGGTTTGGAAGGTGTCCTATTTTGAAGCTGTTTGTATTTAGAACAAAGATATATATAAGAGATGGAAAATTATGCATTGAAAATTTCAAGGAATTTTTTATTTTCCTTCTCTGTGGCTGATCTTCCGCCTCGCCCTCTCCTATTCAGGCCCCAATGGATGCTCGGAAGGAGGTGACATTTTCCAAATTCCAACTTCTTCATTATGTAGTTTTCATCATCTTCTCCGGCAAAAAAACAAAAAAAATTCCAGGAATGTACTTTCCTTCTTCATTATGCCATTAATTTATTTAATGATTTTTTATTATTTTTTCTAACTTCGACGAGAATTCAAATTTTAGACCGGTTGAGTTATGCTTTGACTATTTGATGGTGTTATCTTATGATTTATTATGCCAAATCGTCCCACTTCGAAATCCAAATCATAATTATTGAAGGGCTAAATTTTAATTTGGCCCTTAAACTGTAAATTAATTTAAAGTGGGTCTCAATCAAAATTCTCTCATTTCCATCTTAAACTATATATTTGGAGCAGTGTCGAGCTAACCACGTGATAATAATATTTTTATACCCAAAAAAAAAATTATATATATATATATGGGACCATTGTGACTCATATATTTAATAAATTCATGTTTGTGTGACTTAAAAGTTTGAAAAGTGGATGTGTATTTAGATTGGGTGGAGAAATGAATTACAAAAACTCAAGTCTGTGTAGCATGTGTATGTTTGCAGGTTTGTGATTCATAAAAATGGATAAATGTGGAATGGTAGCAGTAAAAAATGTAAATTCATATATAATCGGTAGAATTATTAAACCCATAATATAAGGTAAATAAATGTACATATTAATTGTAAGTTCAACTTTATAACCCTGCAGAATACAAACTCAACCTGTGAAATAAATGAATTCTTGTTTTTGTCTTCTTATTTCTAGATCCCGTTCCTGCAAATTAATTATAAAAAAAAAAGAAAAAGAAAAAAGAAACCTCACAAATCGTCCAAAGAAAATAAATAATGAATCTATTTGAATGCAACTAAAGATTGTTACTTCAAGAGTTTTACTCACTGGGATTGTCATAACATGACTCTCCCATCTCGATACATGATGATCGCCATATAGATTTAGTTTTTTTTTCTTATATCTAACTGTATGAAACTACTAGTCATATTGAATAATTTCTCGATAGCTTAACATGTTGGTGCATATACAGAACGGGTGGAGATCAGTTCCAGAATTTGGGGGGTGGGATCACAATGCCCCAGGAGCAAGCAATTATTCTGTGGTGTTTACTCAAGCTCGTGCCAACAGGAAACAGCAGAAGACTGACTTAACTGAGTTCAAAAGAAGCAGCCTAGGGAACGAAAGGGAGTTAATGGCGGCTGCAGGTCATCAACAAAAACATCGCCACCAACACCGCCACCGCCATGAACATCAAAACCAACACCGCCGCCATCACCACCACCAACATCATCATCAAGCAGCAGCAGATGACTCTATTGCAGTAAGTACTTTCATCAGCATTACTTTAGTCTCAGAATCAGATCTCCAACTGCCTAATCAAAATCTCTAACTAAACAAATCAAATCCAAATTGAACCAAAAAAAAAGAGAGAGAGAGAGATGTTTGAATACAGTAGCTAAAGAAAGCTTGTGTAGAACATAGTACCTGTTGGATTCTGAGGCTGAGGAATACCTGAACAAATCAACTTTGAAGTAATAAGATTAGAAACTGATTTATCTATCCATGATGGTGACAGCTTCGTTTATAACCTTGTATGCAATTACTTTTTCCAAGTTTAGCCACAGCTAGAATTTTGAAGTAATACAATTGTCTAAAATTTAAGACTATGATTACTGACTGTTGTCTTCTTACATCATACAATGAACACAAGGATATTTCATAACTGTAATAGAATTTATAACAGCAGGGTATCCACGATCATTTCAATGTGAATTCTATACTTACCTAAAAACTCATCGTAATAAAAATCTTACAATACAGAATAAGAAACTGTGAGTGATTCCATCATAGTTTTTGAAAATTGCATTTATATAAATATCGTACATTAAATACTTGCTCTTTTATTTCTCTCTTATCCAGCCGAAGAAGAAGAAGATTCTGACCTACATCAATTGTTGTATCAGGCCTTGATATGCATCAAAAAACCAAGCCGCTCCTCGAATTCTTAGTCATTTCATGCTGTTGATCTGAATACATTTTTACTGGCATGTAAATGAATAGATGAGACATTTTCATCATATGGATACTAAATTGCTTCAATTTCCCCCTCCCTGCTTCTTGTTTAGGTTTTTTTTTTTTTAGCATATAAATCATGTAACCTTTCAATTTGTTTCTTATTTCTTGGAGAAAAGGAAAAAACAGATAAATAAACTGTACTATAACATAAGATTCTATCCAGTATCTTAAAAAGGTAAGTCGCTCTAGATTTACATGCTGGGTACAGGCCATGCAATCTCAGTTATTCTGTCCATGTCAACTTTCAGATCATCTATTCATCCCGTTTTCACAAACTAAAATATAGTCGATGGTTGAAAGTTACGCTGTGAACTGAAAACGTTTCACCGGAGCACGGATCGAGGACAGGTATTGAGCATCTGCCCTGCCTAGTCCTTCAAACAGATAATTAAAAGCTGGCATCTCTATGTACTTTCCAGCACCTGGAACAACTTTTAGTTCATCATTTTCCCAGACAATTCTTCCTCCGGAAATTGTCACTTCGACCTTTCCCTGAGAAAAAAGTACACGTTTTTATAACCTAAACTGATCACTGCGTTCAGAAAGTTGTGTAAATATGAGCGTGATGGCATGAAGAGGTCGAATAGTTCAAATGCACATGCATATATGCGGACAAGATAAGGCTCACGACAAGTTGTGTAGACCAAAAATGATCTATTGGACAACATTTGCAGTAATCCATGATAAAAAGTTTGATCACAATTCCTAAATTGTCAGTCTATTTAAAATTTAAAAATGTGCACGTGTAATGTTGAGAATATGACCAATGTACATGTATCTTGGTTTTTTTTTTCCTTAGAAAAAAAACATCCGGGTCAAGTAGTTTTCATACAAAGGAAAATTCACATACGAACAGAATGGTAGGTATTCACACAACATTCAGTAGCAAGTATACTTTATTGAAATTCGAGTACAAAGCCTCACTGACAGTTCAATAGGTATGCTCTCTCCCACTCTTTCCTTAGAGCTCCTCCCTTCTCTCCTTTACAAGTCTCTTTATTTGTCACTTCTGACTAACAAAGTATCTGCCCAAAGAATGCTACTAACTGACAAATAATTCCGGTCCAAAGGTTACTCAATGGGTATTCCAACAAATTTCTTTAGGTTATTGGGCCAAAAACACCTAAAGTGAAAAAGGTAAAACCTTTCCACTGTAACAATCTAGTGAAATGGCATCCAGTAATAAATGGGAAAATCAAGAGCACAATCGTCAATAGAAAGCATAGAGACAATAGCAACCAACGGTAATTAGAAATTTCACATGAGTTAGTCATATCAAACTTATGATTTATGAATAAGCTGTTCATAAAGATGTTGAAATGGTCTTGGCCCTTAAGCCTAATATAAACTTAATCACCATGCTATCCATGTTCACCTCAAACTTATAGCACAAAGTAGACATAAAGCAAAGCATAAACCACATAATTCTATTGTCATGAAAAACTGCATTATGGCGTACAGGTTACCTTCCCTCTCTTCCCGTCGTAGACATTTGTGTCAGATCTAGAGTGATGAGACTTTGCAGATATTTCAAAACTTGCATTTGGATTGAGTATAATTATGTCTGCATCAGACCCAGCAAGGATCGCTCCTTTCTTTGGATATATATTGAAAATCCTAGCACTGAATAAACAGTAGACGATGAAAATCATTGCATTATGTAGGCAGCAAAATTTATTTGGTTGTAAAACTTCGAGTGTATTTGACTTTTCAGAGTAATGCTTTAAGTCAAGCACCTTGTCTATAAGCCTTCTAAATAAAACGCTAATTAAGTACTTCAAAGTATTTTTAGATATTATTAAAAGTTCCTTTTCGCCATGTAGCTTAATACTATGAAACTCTTACAATAATAATGCACAAGAAGTTCCTGCAGAGATCAAAAAACAGTGGCAAGACCACATACCATTCAGTGCTTGTAATCCGAACATAATCACTGACAGATATTTGGCCAGACTCCTGAAAGTTAGAGATTTATGGAATGAGATTCTTAACAAAATTCAAACTTAAGTGTCCATTCTGAAAGAATAAAACAAATGCACGGACAACTTACCACCACTGTATTCCATACCAAATGCATTCTTTCCTCAATGCCTGAAGATTCCAAGTTGTCAGATACAGAAAGGAAATAGAGTATCATAATTGAATTGGATAAGCATAAGGTCCAAGTCCCCAATATTTTATATTTCATTGTTGATACAGACCAATATGTAATATCTATAGCAATTACCATTGACGCCATTGGGAATTTTTCGGAAGTCATCAATCCCCATGGCCTTCTGTGTAGAATTAAAGCTACAGTGATCAGTTCCCACAAGCTGCAAATTATAAGAAGCACAATAATCAGTAAACTTCATCCAAACATGCCAATTTAAGAACATTGCGATAATCCACCTGCCTGTTGAGGTTACAATACTAAAGTAGTTTTGGAAATATAATTTTTTATCCCCCCACCTTCCACACACAAAAAATAATAATAATAATAATAATAAATAAATACTAAAGGGTCTAGCTATCAATGGTAGCCTTCTGAAATTTGCATGATAACACTATGAAAGTTGTTTTATCAGAGCATTTTCAGTGACAGGTATCATGCTCCATCTTCTTAGTTACAATTTAATTACCTGCAGAACTCCTGTTGAAAGGGCTGCCTGAAGGGCCTTATCATGCCCCAATGGTCTAATAGGAGGACTCATGACATACCTGATGCATGAGATATGATCGTAATGTATTAGACTGGTTTACTTGAAAGAAACGAGATAGTGATAAGAATGAGGTTATATAAGAAATGCTAGAATTTTATAGTAGTTACTTTGCCGCAGTGACGAAGTCAGGATCCCAAAGCCCAGAATCATCGAGAACTAAACCAGACACAACTGGCTCTCCAATAACCCTCTGCCCTGCAATTTAAAAGTAAAGTTATCTGTTCACTCAATTAGAGTATCACATAGCAGAGAAGGGTCATAACAATTCGTGAGGAAAAATAGAGGAGCCAGTGACAGATGACAGCCAAAATTTTATAGATTATTAAGCACTGACCTTTTTACCATGTCAGAAGACAAGTTGAACAATTTGGTCGCATGAATTGCATTTGAGTCACATAAACAGGGGGGAGAAGGACATTTTTAAAATGATTTTAGAGCCTGAAAAGACATCAAACCCAACCACACGAAGTTTTCGTAAGAAATGAAAATTTAATAGGAGATTTTTTTTTAATGAAAAATCAAACTTTCCTTGAGATAAATGGTAGAGAAAAAGCCTACAAAAAAGCCTATACAAAAGACCAAAACCTGAGTTTACAAAAAAAGGCACTGGTTGAAAAGAATCAGAGATAAATGCTGGTGACAAAACTTCTTAAAAATAGATACCAAAAAAAAGGCGTTAAATCTAGCAAAGACCACATCTCCGCTGAGGACACTCAACATTTAAAAACTTAGACACTTCAAAAGTAGTTAATCCTTTAACTTAATTAAAGAAAGAATCTTTGAAGATGTTAATAGACCTCCTAAAATAGAAGATTTTTTAGACCATCATTAAATGTCAAATTTTTCATAGGATCTACACAGTTGTAGACTAGTATTTTGAATAAACAAATAATTTTTTAATCATTGAAAAACAAAGTACGATATGACGATTCATTAACACATGTTGGATAAATGTACCATAAAACAGATTTTAAAATATAGAACATGGTACCTGCTTTCCGAGCTTTGGCTATTTCTTCCATTGCATCAATGCTCATAACATGAACCACATATAGAGGAGTGTTCACAAAACCAGCCAGACGTATTGCTCGGGAAGTTGCCTCTCCTTCTAACTGCATTCATTTCAAGCATACATAGAGAAAGAGAGTGGCAGTTGAATTGACTAGAATAGTCAAACGAGTACCCATATTCAGCCAGACAAATAATCAGTAAAAGAATGTACATGGAAGAGTAAATTCATGCAGAAGTTTCATCAATCCAAAATAAGAATTTCATCTTATAATAAAGCAGCAGATATCAATGATGGGAAAGTGGGACAAATACATTAAAATAAAAACGTGATCTTTGAATTACCACAGCAGGCCGTGAGAGAGCATGTCCCTCTGGACCAGTTATACCAAGTTCAATCATTCTCTCCTGTCCTTCGTATACAGCATCACCATTTTCAGCATGTACCATGGCCAAGGCACCAAGAGATTTGCACTTCTTGAATCCTTGTAACAAGAGTTCATCACTGATCATTAAAGCTCCCTTGTATGCTAGGAAGAACTTAAAAGAGTTTATCCCTGCAGGTCAGAATACGAGAAGGTTGTATGTTGATGAGAAAACCTTTTATGATATTTGTGAGGTGAAGGCAATTTGATCTATAGTTAATTGGATTGAAGTGAAAAACAATTGCTAACCTTTCTCCTTCACCATGATTTCCATTTCCTGTGAAACGACTTCATCCCATTTTGTGATTGCCATATGAAAACCATAATCCATGCAAGACTTCTTTGCCTTTTTCCTGTACGATTCGAACCCTGCTGATAGACTTCCATTCACTGGTATAACAAAGTCAATGTGCATGGTCGTTCCACCAGCTAATGCTGCAGCCTGACCACTGAAGAAGTCATCAACCGTCTCAGAACCCATAAACTCAAAAGCAAGATGTGTGTGCGGATCAATTCCTCCTGCCAAATCACACTTAGATGAATAAATCACATAATTTGCTGATTCTGACATAAAAAGTGAACTGGAAAACTGAAAGTAGATTGGTTCAAATACTCCGAATGGAATAAGACATCCGACTTATGCATGTAGCGAAAGAACTTACAAGCAATCACAGGAAAATAGAGAAGGAGATATCCAGGGGAAGATTCAAGAGTTCCTCTCACTCTCCTAGAATCCTTGAGACTAAGCCAAAAAGTGCCTCTATACGTACATAAACTACATCATACAACATACTAGCAACTCAGACTCTTCCCCACCCCTCCATTTGTTATTTTAGTTCAACTGAAGCCCCACAAAAAAAGGGCATCAAGGATGCAATGGAGTAGGGTGGCCAGAGAAGATTCAATTGTTTATACATATTAAAATTAATGCCCATGCTTTTAGAACATATATTAGTAACATAAAATCAGGAAGCCGGCAACGTGTGTAATTTTTAACCTGGCATGACATATTTTCCAGTGGCATCTAGGACCGCAACATCATCCCCGACCTATTATTGGCAATAGAACGAGTTAATTGTGGATATGTGAAATTCAACAGCACAAATAATATGTTAAACTATAAATGATGACGTAAGCAATAAAATGTTGAGCATGATAGAACTGTAGAATAGTAGGCTTTACTATACAGATAATCAAGTTTTAGAAAATAATAATGACAAAGGGCAAGTCAATAGTACTGATCGAAGCACGAAGAAGAACGAAATTCTTTTGTTGGAAACACCGTCGAATATTAAGAACGACACAGTTTCGCCATTAATATGCACGGCACCCGTTCATAATAGATCGCCGTAATAATAGATCGCCGTTCATAACCAATGAAATGAACTCACCGTACTGTAAAGAAAGCATACCTTGATATTAGGCTTCACAGCAATAATAATTCCATCCTCTACATAAACATCGGCAACCTCCTGCTGATGAGCATTCACTACAGTCCCGCCCTTTATCAGTAGCTTCGACGATGATCCAGTACCACAGGTTGACTTATCAAATCCAATCCCAGCGTTACAGAACTGAAAAATGATGAAGAAAATGGAACATGAGAACAAAAATTTTGCCTCTAGAAATTAAAATCGCAAATCCAATCGACTTCTGGAAAGAGCTATAGAGTCTTGAGTAAAATATTTGGCCTTGTAACTCGAAGAACTCCGTTTTTCTCTTCGCCGATGAATCTAATATCTCATATTTCTTCATTTTCTCCGCTACCGATCAGAATTCAACCGTAAAAGGGATGTCAAATCGATGGTTTGGAGTACCTGATCGGATTCTGATAACGAACGTGTTGAAGACAGGACAACAATTAGAAAGAAGAACCAAGTTCGCTGGCAGATCGGCTCCATGAATTTCAAAGCTCGAGCACCGAATAAAGCATAATCGAACTCTGGCAGCCAATTGGAGTGAGTTAGTACTTCCTGATGAGAGCCACAGACTCTTCCCGGGAGTATCCAATTCTAAAATTTAGATCACGCTTGACTAAAAGAAAGTCCACGTCAGCTTCAAGTTATTTTCTAAAATTTGTTTTCCCCACGCTCTATTATTAATTATTTTCTTTTTTCCCGAATTTCATCAAACTGTATATATGCTAAAATCTTATTAGGTTATTATAAATTTAATCCGTCATCTCTAGGTTAACGATAAATGTCATTTGTTTAATCTCTAATTCTCTACATATATTTTTAATACAACAAATGATGGTAGAAATTGAATCTTTCATCTCTAGAAAATAATAAAATCTTTAATCATAGAGTTAGACTCAAAATCATATAATACATATTGGGGTGATTATAGTGATACGTGTCACTTTTAAATTTAAAAAGAGATAGACTTAATATTTCAGTTAAATAAAATATACAAAATTATCAATATATTTTTTAATACGTGAATGGATAGACTCGAATCTCAAACTTCATAACTTACTTTCAACGATAATTCTATAAAATAAAGTATTATGTGGGCTAATAGAATTTTATGCATTAATCGGCTGTTTTCCCTTATTAACTGATGCATGTTTAAATTGGTAATTAATAGAAAATTACACAATAAATATCTATGATGATTTTTTAGAATAAAAGTTTGTATCGACGAAAATTTGTCTGGTAAACTTTTAAGTTTTAACTGACGTTTAAAATGTCAAATATTGTCGTATATAATTTTTTTTATCATGTACTTGTATAGTACTATCAAAGTTATGGTTGTGAAAATCATGAGGCGTGTTGACTATGTTACCTTACCCCTATTCGTTATTGCTACTTAACCTAACACCCTAGATCAAAGATTTGAGAACAACCTTCACTATTCGCACTAGACAAATGTATAACTTGGCAGACAACGTTCAAATTCAACTATAAAAAATAAGTAAACATACTCATTATGATCCTTAAAATTGATGGACTTATATCCATTCACATATTATTTGATAATTGTCCTTACAAAATATATTTTTTTCTTTTCGATTTGCATCATTCACAAAAATACAAATTTTTAAAGTATGGAGATCATAATAGGAATATGATATGTTGTAATTTTTATATCCTTAAAGATTCAATATTGAACGAATTGATATTTATATTACATAGTAAAAATTCTATAAAATATATCGTTAAAAAATAAAAATAATATTAATAACAATAATTTTCTGGAAGATAATAATAATATGAATTTTAAACTAATTTTAAAACGATGAAACATTTATTTTGCAATTTAAGTGTTATTTTTGTAAATTTCATGAGTTTTTTTAATTTCCTAAAAATTTGTATAGATATTTTTATAAAATTGAGACATACGTTTTAATCTGGATGGAGATTACCGCTTAGCTTTGACAATGCGAGTGGAGATTTAGAACTTTGTGTAAAAGTTCTACCATGATAGGATAGGAATTTAGACATTTTTTCCCTTTATTTTATCTCTTGTCTCCCTATATTTTTCTCCTTGGGTTATTTCATTTTTTATTTTTTATTTTTGAGAAAATCCTTGGGTTATTTCATATACCTTCGGTTCAGCACAGAAAATAGAAACCAGTCCACCGCCGGCGCTCCCCCATTCCACCCGTCATTCTCAAATCTTAAGCCGAGTGGTGTTTCTGCATTTGCTCTCCACTGTTCTTCAATATTGTTATCTACCTCATTCGTTTGCTGATCTTTCGGGCGCAATATTGTCTGTGAAAACGGCAAGTGCTTTAGCAGGTAGGTTTTGATGGAGTCGCTGTTAGGATTTGAAGAAGTGCCGGTAGAGAACGAAGAAGAGCAGTCGTCGACGTACAGCCGCAAATTGGTACCCTGGTCGACTTGGAGCGAATGGCTTTTCGTTAGTCAATCAATATTCTCCGACTCACCAGACTCCGTCGCCGCTGCTCTTAGAAGAGTAAGCTTACTTTCTTTGAATAGTTGCTCCACCTCTTTCATGGGATTCGAATTGCAGGTTTTATTCATTGGCTTGCGTTTTATGAATTTGAATTTTAGGTATCAACATGGAGAAGCAGAGGATGTCTTCCAGTTGTCGTCGAAGTTACAGCAGCGATAATCGAAATCCAACAAAAGGATCCCTACTTCATGTATGCTTAAATTCTCACTTGTTACCAACTTCTTTCGTCGTAATACTTCTTACTCGAGCTATTTTCTGTAGTTCCTTACCGTCGGTTTTGTCAGCTTTCGAATCGTGTAAACAAAAAGATAATGAAAGTGGAAGCGCATTTGTTTTTTGAGAATGGAAAATACGAACGACAGTCAAACTTCAAAAGAATTAATTACTATTAAATGGTTATTTTATAGATGGCAAACGATGAAGTTGTGTATTGATTTTTTCATTCTCTTGCTTCTGTCATTAATACAATGCTGCTATGTGTTCTAGTACAAATGTTTTTGTATCTTAGGTTATTGGGTGTTTTTATGTCTGGAAATCACTCATAGTGTTCATTAGTTTATTTGATTCATTAATTTCAGAAAGAACCAATCCCTGGATGCTTCGGTTGATGGTAAAGAGGACCAATTAAACAATGTTTCACTTTCAGAGGAAGCACTAGCCATGTTATATTGCATGGCCATCATGAGGTAATTTTTTCTTTTATATGAAAGTACGTGATAATATCTTGATATTTTCTTCATGACCTTCTAAGTCTGATCAATAAGGTTATCATATGGTGAAGCCTAAATTATTAACAAAGTAGTCCAACTGTTCTTTTTAAAACAAATGTTGAAGTCTAATCTTATTGGTGTAAAGTTCTCACTTCCTTGACGTCAATGCCAATGGTCATTAATATGACTCAATTTTACAGGGAAATTTACAATTTCATGGTCTTAAACTAATTACATGAGATCCAGGAAAACAGTGTTAATTATAATGTTGGAACGCGTATTCTACGCTAACCTCTCTGCATTAACTGGACAAGCCTGTGGTGAGATGTTCCATCCTATCGTGGAGATACTCATTCCATACACTTCACTTTTTGACTGATAAAAGAAAGTTGAGATAGAGCTAGCTGTTTTGTGAAACTTTATATTGAGTTTTTGGAGGCTTTTCTGTTTCACTGTTTTAACAAGATTGCAGAATGAAAATACACTTTTATTCTGAAGGATTAATGTATTCTTGACCTTGAAGGCTTGTAAATGGCGTTGTTGAGAAGACACGGAAGAAAACAGAGGTTTCAATTGCTGTAGCAGCTGATGCTATTGGTTTGCCTCGTGTACTGATTGATATTCGTCATGGTGAGTAACGCCAACATTTATTTTATACGCTATCATTTATTTATTTCAGTTTTATGAACCCCTTTCTGTAGTCCTCAAGTTTTATCATCCTCCTGTATATGCTGCACGTGAGATTCCTTTTCTATCTTTATTTTAAATTTTTTTGGAGCTTACTTACTTGACCAATTTAATGTGGCATAACCGCTTGCCAATATATATATATATACATATATATATATATTTTTTTTTTTTTTTTATAATTTTTTTGCAATATCATTCATTTTTAATGGCCGGTTATCTACCTTGACTGTAATATTTTTTCATTTTTCTCTTGGCAACGACTATAGAGGGCTCCCATCGTGATCTTCCAGCTCTTCAGGTGGTTCGCTGTGCCTCAACCAAGGTAATGACCATGAACTATTATTGTTCCACCATTTGGTGGTTTTAACTTGGCATCATTCAATGTGTAATATTAAATCATTTACAATTTTTCAAATTTGCCTGCTATAGTATTGGCCTATTTCGTTTGTGGCAGTTTGTATTTGAATATATCTGTTCTCAGTAGAAGTATTTTAAATGCAAGAAGGTTAACTGAGATGGGAAGTAAACTGAAATTTTCTTGGTGCTTGGCGATTTCAGGCACTTCGTTGGTTGAGATCTTATTATTGGGAACCTCAGGAGAAAGCTATTCCATTTCAAGGTGATATAAGTACTACCATTAGAAAGGAAATCAAATCCAGGCTTCGTGATTTGGCTTTTAATTTAAAAGTGAAGCAAAATCCTTCACTTGGATCTGCCATGGTCAAGCCAAAACGTACGTGCTTAATCTCTCCCTTTATTATGGTCATATTTTATAATTCCTTAAGGTTATTATTATTATTTTTTAATGCGGCTTATAAATGGTTTTGATTCTCTGCTTCATCTAAATTGTGGGAGACTTGAGTTTCTTCTGAAATGGAAGATCTTGAGATGAGTGAGATTATTTAAAGAATGCTAGATCAATATTATGATGCATTCATTCAACATCATTGACAAGACGGGGACATTTCATGGAATTTTTCAGTCATGATTGATAAAATGTTGTTTTTGATTATCTATTTTTCAGAGTAAGTTTATTTACTAATAATTTTCTTTTTTCTTTTTGAAAAGAATTAAGTTTTCATTGAATAAGTGAAATCTTACAGGTTTAATCAAACAGAACTAAAGAAGTCGAACAAAAAACCTCACCCTCCAAAGAACCCCCCAATCATGAAATTTAGTTATACCAAATTTCTGAATGAGCACTATCGAAATGCAGGCCAACCAACAATCCACCCATTAAAAATAATACAACCCCACCTTTGAAAAATCAAAGCGTATTTTCTAATTAAAAATCTAACTCAGAGAAGCTGCCCAACGTAATTTGATTCCTGAAGAGATTGCTAAAGTAATTGGAAAGAGCACACCAGGAGGAAGCTTGATATTTGATAGGATCCCATCTTTCTTGCCTTTGAAAACACTCTGATTCATTCCAAACCATAAATCCCAAACAAAGCTTTGACCATGTTGACCATTACGCTCTTGCTTTCCTTTTCAACTCGTGTCCACAAAGAAGAATGAAAACATAATTGATGCATATCCTCTCCTGCCGCCGAACAGAGCATACAACACGTTGGACTCAATGCCAAAAGAGTATCTCTGTATTTTGATCACCTATTACAATCTTTAGTGGTACCTTACTGATAGTGATAGGTCATCTATGGTTTCTCTATCTGATTTTTTCTTAACCTCAATATCTCCGTACGAATGCATCAAAACTCTACTACAGTCTTTTCCTTGCTGTTGATGCTAATCTCAAAGCCAAGATTTATGCAAGTGTTTTTTTGTATTGTTCAGTTTTGTTCTGAAGCAGTTAAGCTCTTTATTTAAAATTCATTAATTGTTACAATTATCTTTAGATTACCTAAGAAAATTAAATACTAATGAATGAACTTACCTTTTCAGGTTTGAAGACAAAAACTGGCAAGACACTGAAGGTTCTTGTTCAGTTATATTCTTCTTTCTCTTCAGAATTTGTATCTGTACTGCTGGAATTATTGCTAAAGGCAATGAGGTCATCTGACTTGATGTGTTCCGAGAATTCCCAAAAATCCAGAAGCACAGTATTGGATGGTTGGAAGCTTGTGATTGCCAAGATCTCAAATAAGGAACCAGAATTGCTTTTAGAACTGCTTGAGGCAGTTCTAGAGAAGATTGAGACTCGAGAAGGCCTGGAGTATGGTATGACAAAATATCAACTTAGACTTTACATCCTTGCTCTGTTTTATTTTCTGAGCCTTATAATGAGGCATATTCTTAGCTAGTAACCATTTTAACGTTACCTCTAGGAGTTAGCTTTTGGATAATTTATAGAACCACACGTATGCATGCCTAATATATTTTCATCGGGAACTATTTATTTCCCTTCTGTTGGCGATTGATTTTATACTCCTCAGTCCTATTTGCATTGATTTTTTATTAAAGAGAAGGCTGGGATGCTTAAAAAATTTGTATCAACTTCTCGCGCTCTTTTAGCCTCTACATGCTTCTCTCTCCCTCTCTGAATGGTCCTCTCTACTTATGAACATGCTTTTCTCATTGGTTCTCTCTGGTTCTTTCAGAAAGTCAGTACTTCATGTCCTCAGACCACAGAATGGAGAGCTGTCAAGTTTCACAACTTTCCTCTTTGTTTGCATGGCTTGTTGACAAACTTAAGGGGTTGAAACTTAAACGCAAAGGAGAAGTTTTTTATGGAAAACACATTCCGAAAGGTATTTTAATGGAGGTACTCCGTAAATGCCTTCTGGCATCAGCGCCTGGTAACAAGCGGCTTATGGACTCGGCCACTGATCTTGCACAGTTAATGGGTGCCGCTTCTCTGGTGAAGAAACTGAACAAACTATCTATTCTGAATCTACCAAATTTACCAAATTCACATGTTCCCGAAGGAGAAAGTCCCACCCAAACAACTTCAGACAACAGTTTCAACCAAGTGGAGGGATCTTTCCACGAAGCAAGTCAGAAACTGGAGGCGATCAAACTCCACAAAAGAAAGAACTTGACGAATCCAGTAGATGGTAATGTAGGAAGTTCCAGCAGATGGACTATAGTAAGTTCCTGGACCCCTTGTCCAATTGGTATGTTGCCTCGTTCGATCGGTTCTTCCGGTCGGCTTCCTGTTCTTGACCTCAATCCGGAGAGCGAAAACACTTCGGAAGAGCCGAGAAGCAAAGAGAACTGTGAACTCAGCAACTATAGCCACAAGAGGGAAGCCAGTTCTGATATTCAGCAACTTGATAGCTGTAGTGTCAAGAAGCTGAAGGAGACAAATGAAAATTTTCAAGCTGAGACAGAAGATGTTGAGTCAGCTAAAGGCGTGAAAGGGCGCTTGTTGATAGGTGGGATATGGAAAAAAGTTGGGGAGGAGGAATTATCCGCCATTCAGGCTGCTGTGAGGATATTATTATAAATTCTTTCAGTTGCTGAGATTTTTTCTGTCAAAACAAAATCATAGCCTCAGAAATCCGAGTTCCAAAATTACTTGGATAAAATTTTGTCCACGATATGTACACATTCAGTAGGCAAAAAAGTGGTTTAGGTGATACGCTCATGTGAAAGCTCGTAGGATTTTTTTTAATTATTTAGCTTATTATTAAAAACATGTGGGAGTGAAAATTGACTTTCCGACTTCATAGACTATGATATTCCTTGAATTATATTGGCTCGACTATGTTTTAACCAGTCGAGTTAGGTTGTCAAGTTGAGTTATGTACCCACAAAGTTATTTACTTGTTTCAAGTTTAATTATTCCGATCGATATTATACTTATTTGGGATGCTGGGAGCTCTATCAAACTTGCGGCCCAAACAGAGTCCAGTAAGGCATAAATTGGGCCAGGCCCAATTTTCTGGTCCATTACCTTGTCTCCATGAACGTCATTTAGCATCTTTTTTTTTTAGAAAAAAGAAAACACTAGAATTACGTTACAAGCTATTTTGAAGACCATAGATTATAAATCTTTAGATAAGTAAAAAGGGAGAGTAGCTTTTACTCATTTTATACTTTCCCTTTTATCTTTTCATGTAAATAATAACAAAAATTAGATCAATCTAAATTCGACACGATTAGCTCTTTTTAACTCATACTCACTAGTAGTAGTTATGTAGTTATGGTATAAAGGAGAAAGTTTTAGATAACAAACATGGATTTGTGGGCCAAAATCTCGACAATTATTGATGTGATTGGTGTACAATCTAAGATTCAGATCACTCTTTAACTTTTAATCTCCACTTTATACCCTTAAAAAAATGGGAAAGTTGGAAGAAACTTTCTTAGGTTGCAATAATTGAGAGTTGAAATGAAAGTTAGTATCCCAAAAATCAAATGAAAGATGGGGGGAAAAAGTTGATGGCAATGATAGAATGTGATGCTTAAACTTTAGGAGACAAATGCATCGGAAGGGAAGTGAATGCGTGTGTGATCATCACAAACTAACCCAAACAAAATCTGCCAACTCCCCTCTTCACAGCATCATCCATTATATATCAACTTCTCTCTCCTCTCTCTCTCCTCTCTCTCTCTCTCCCTCTCCAATATTCTATGCCTTTTTTTAAAAAGAAAAAATCCTCCATAATCCATGGAGAGAAATAAAAAGGGAAAAAAAAGGAAAAGAAAAACAATTTACACTAAAAATAAGTTCGCAATTATAGTTGAGAAAAATACTTGAAAATAGTGATTTTTCATTTTTTTATTTGGTATTTTTATTCTTTAAATATTTGTGTGAAACTATTACGTCAAAATGATTATTTTTTTTAAGTCAAAGGATAATCTTAAAAGAGAGGAGAGAAATGACATATACACGTTTGAATGGAATAAAATTCTATTTTAAATAAGCCACAAAAATAATAAGTCTACTCATGACAAAAAAGCCCACGAGCCTTAATAGTTATTCGAGGAGTTGGACTCTGAAGATCTGTCACTTGAAATAAGCAATACGCTAATCAAGACTTATGAATTGAAAGAAATGACAATCAAAACTATGAAAGTACATCGACACTGTAATGCCATATTCGACGCCTTGACATTATGCCGAAGCCGACTAGCCTGGTTGGTTCGTCCAGTTTATTTTCAAATCTCATTGACAATCCAAAAGAATGCTCGAAGAAATTATCTCTAAAATCCAATAGTTAAAAAAATAAGAAGACCAAAATTTCAGAGAGGGAAAAGACTCATAATCAAGCTACGTTACAAAAATCCTATTTTTTGCTAAAGTTGGATCTGAGTTAAGCATTGTGTGCGACTGATACCATACTATTGTATATTTTCAAAATTATATTTACAGTTAATTTAGATTTCAAAAATCAAATGGCTATATATTATTAAATAGCAATATACAATTGTAGAAGGGTCCAAGCTCCCATTTGTCCAGAAAAGGTACAAATTAGCATCATCCACCTGTCAACATGTACTCACATTTAAATTTTAACCCTGCAGTGAGACCACCATTGAACAAGACATATATAAAAATAAAAATATATATTACTACAATATAAATTTTGAAATTAATAATCAAATTAAGATGTCAGATAAATGACATATATATATGTCTTTAAGCTGTGAATTCAATTTTTCACCTTTATCTCCACCCGTACTAATAAAAATAATAATCAAATTAAGGTGGGCCCCACCCACCACTGTGCCCTTCCTGCTGCTTCGTCAAATTATGGTGGGTTAGTTGGGCCTTCTTTTTTTCCTCTTTTTATTTTCAAATAAAAAATTGGAGAGAGAGAATCTTTCAAAAAAAAAAAAGGAAACGTGGATATATATCTATTATATATATAAGAGCTTACTTTTTTCACCACTAAGCCAACCCAGCCTCCATCATTAAGAAAACATACCAAAAACTCTCTGCCCTCCCTTTTAAATAACATCGAGATTATACTTAGTTGCTCTTCGATCACCAAAATTATATTTTTTGATAATTTAAAGAGGAATGTATAAAAGAAGAGGGAGGAGAATCCTTTTTCCTACCAAAATAAATATCTATTATTCATAATATTTTTAATTGTTCGGAGAACTAGGAGTCTTTTATTAGTTATACCCATATGTTTTATATCTAAACTTGTGTACTAATTTCTTTTAATTTGAATTTATTTTAACTATATATTAGAGAAAAATTTCCCTTTCGAGTTTTATGAACCAGTCCTTTTCTTTTGGCTAAATATATTTGTTAGTGCCTAATATTTGACTTTTTTTTAATCCTATTGCTTACAAATTTTCGATTTAGTCTATTGTGTTTTAATATTTTCAATTTAACCTCACTTGTAAATGTTAAAATTGATTATTGATAAACTTACATGGTATAATATTCAAGACACACATAATTTAAGAGAATAAAGAATGTCATCAAACTTCAAATGAGAATTAAATTTAAAATTTCTTCCAATTTCTTCTCTTAATGAACTTTTTTCTGCTAAATTATTTCCACCAATTTACTAAGTATGGTGCTATGTAAGTTTAATGATGATTCAATTTTAACATTCAGCAACGATAATAAATTAAATTGAAAAATCTTAAAACATAAAAGACTAAATTTAGACTTCTAAAACAATATAAATTAAATTGAAAGAACCSCAAAGAGTGGGGAGTAACATATATATTTACTCAATTCCTTTTTATTAAACGTGTTTGAAAATTAAATGTAATGTTTAAAATGTGGGAGGGACTCCATATGAGAAAAAGCGTGGCTCATGGGAGGCCACCAAACCCATGGTCGGTTATCTTAATGGACGGTTTGTTTCGTGGGAATCTAAGGTTACTGTGAGATGCACATCTGGATTCCCACGTTTGTTTTGCGATAATGTAAGATATTTGGGTATCTCGGGATGCCCGAATATCCTAGGATTCCCTTACGGAAGGTATTCGAGTTGATTTGGATGCCCATTTTGAAACATGGGTTTCCATGATTCCCATATCGAGGGCATCCTATATTGACATTTTTGTCCCTTCATTATTTTTTCATATATTTTCTTTTATCAAATTTCTTTAATTTTATTTGTAATTTTATAATTTAAATAAATTAATGTACTATTGACTAATAAGCAACTAAGTATATTTATGTATTATACGTTCAATTAAATTATATAATATCTCCATTTACTTTTAATATTTGGAATGACTTATTATTAATAATATCTATATCTTAAATACATAATTTTAAAACGAACATTTTTTTAACGATCAAACCTATCTTTGATATTCTTCTTCTTAAAAGAATATAATTTGATAATATAATAAATAAATTTCACCAAATATAACATTAATTATATAATTGTATTTTTTTAAATATTAAAGTTGAAAATGAAATTTATATTCAATATTAATTACTTTTAGAAAAAGTTTTATATTAATACGAATTCTACTCACATACAAAAATTAATACATATACGCAATTAATAAAAAAACCTAAAATATTAAATTAATTTTAAGAAAATCTAAATCTAAATGTAAATTATATTATATTAATGTATAAATTATATAAATATTCATAGGGCATTTTTGGAACATTATATAAATTTAGAACATTCCCATCAATAAATCCTGTATAACAAACGTGACTATCCAAGTATTCCCGAATATCATTATATATTTTTCTACGAAACAAACATGGCCATCTAAAGATGCTAGACATCTGAAATTCCAGGCATCTACATTCCCAAAAAGCAAACTACCCCTAAAAATGCCTATACTTCTTTAGTTGGTGTTTTAGGGTTAGGGTTTTGGATTAAATTTGAAGAAGAGTTCAAAGTTCCCTTTTGATAATTTGTTGATTTTAATATATTTATTGATCTATTTTAATCTTAGACGTTCAAAAGTTTGGGTTTAGACATTAGTATTAACTTTCATCAATCAAATTAAAATTCATTTTAAAACATGAGACCAGAGCCATGTTATTTAATTTTTAGTTTATCAACTAATAAAGTAAATAAACAAAAGACATATTCGATCCTGAGGCGATAAAGGATCAAAACTAGTTTATACTTGGTTAATTTAAAGCTAAACTAAGCTAATATTAATCTTGTTAAGGAATAATAAATAAGATACGTTAATTATCTAGTTTATGCTAGATAAACTCTTTCGATTCATCACCATCTAATAGCTTTTAGACAAAAACAATATTTAAAGAATGTTCGATTGAAAGAATAAACCACATGGGGTGAATTGCAATTTGTCGTGTGATAATTCTTAAATATAGTTTTGAGACAAAAATAATATTTGAAAAATATTTGACCGAAGGAATAAGCAGGTGAATTGCAAGTCTCAACATCAGAGGAATGAGTATTTTCATACATAGTTTCTAGTGGGCTAATTCCCTTCCATTCTCTTTCGAGTATTTTCAGGCATTAGCCCCTCGTGAGCTAATTCCTTTCCATTTTAAAAATATTTACAATCGTTTTATGAGATGCTAGTTCTTTGTGTTAACTTATCGCTGGCATGATTCTTCCAATAAAAATGAGATAATTATGTCCTATTTTTTCCATTTTTAGTTCAGCAAGATGTAGGGATAGAAATTCGAATTTCAAACATTTTAATGGATGATATATACTTTAAATATTTTAAGCAAACGTTAATATTGACGTGTTTATATGTTGATATAATAGTAACATATAGTCTAGCTTATCTAATCAATTGCCATTTATTGTCCATGTTCTTCATCCCACAATTTTAAACATTTAAATGTATTTTATAAAATGAAATTTTGGCCACCAATTTAAAATCCGTCGTTGTTTTGTCCCACAATTAATATCATAAATGTGTGGTTGAGTGGATTCATATTATTAATTAAAATTGGACCACGATTTCAAGAAACTTAATAAGGCGTCCTTATACACGCCCATTGGTTGATTTCGAGTATCGAGACATGTTTTCAAATGAAAATTAATTTACATCACATCATTTTATTAAATAAATTTTGTCTATATATGTGTATGTATGATTTTTCAAATCTCTAAGTTTCTTTAAATCATATGACTAGTTTAGTTTCCTTCAATATCAAATGATTCACCTATAATCTTAAAGTCTTATCGTATTTTCACGATCATTTTTTTTTTCCTTGTAGAGGTTAGGATCGAACGATTATTAAGATGGTAATAATTAATAAGTGTCTTATTTACTTGCTCGAATTTACATATTTTCAAGATGATGTAATCAAATTTAAGTTTGATTGATTTTAATTATGGACTGTTGAGGTTGTTTACTGTCTGCCACGTGTCAGTAATTAAAAAAAAACAAATCTACATAAAATAACAGCGACGATTGTCAAAGTCTCGCTAGCTTGGTATATAGCTTTTCGAGTGGACCTATTTTGTTATTATTATTCGGTCGACCTGACGAAGGTGCGGGCCGACATATTGAAGATGTCTACAAGTGCGTAAGCAACGTGCTATTCCTGACAACAAGCCACGTTTCACGGGCAGTCGGATGACCGTTATGCTACTGTCGGTAGCCCTGTTGAAGATCATCCCTATATATAAGGATGGCTGCCATTTAAGCAAGGTACTTGAATCTATTCCTACTTTGAGCTTAGATCAGATTAAGGCTGACTTGCTCGTCGGAGTGCTAACTTTGTTTTGCTGGTTATTCAGCATTGCTAGAGAGGTCATCCTATCTCTTTCGATCTACGGGGATTCTGAGCTTGGTCGATTTTCAGATCAAACATGGATTCTACTCAAAATATTCTACATACTGTTTAGATATTCATATATGAATTAAGTTTTCCCAATCAATTAGTTTAAGTTTTTGAGTTGAATAATGGTTTATTCCTCCTTAATATATGTTCCCAATGGATAGCTTGGGTGGTATGTGGCCTAAAGAAATAACCTTAGGTCTTGGATTCAAGCCACATAGAACGCAACTTCCACCAGTCAATCACTATGTACGGGTATATGAAGACAATGTGCATACCTCCAGATGCCGACTCCTGAGTAATAAAAAAAATTCATCCTTAATATATACTAATATTATTTTTGTTTATATGTGTAATGTCTTTTCTACCTCAAACTAGCATGTTAAATTATATCTCTATCTCCAACATAATGTTGATTTTGTTAGAAGCTCTAGTTCATACGTGACATCTATATAACATTTTGGAAGATAAAATAATTCTTTCAAATTCTTTTGAAAATCTTAAAAATATGACACCATTTTTTTTACACTAACTTCCAACCTCGAAAGAATGAGTTATATAAGTGTTTATTGTTGAGTTGCACTTAAATTAATTACTAATTTAACGTTGTTAAACCTTTGAAAACACGCTTTTAAGATAGGTTATTATATTAATTATTTTTTAAGTAAATTTAACTCGGGAAAAAATAGTGTAATAAAAATTTTCAACCCTTCGAATCCCACCCATATCTTTGAGGTAATATTCTATAAAAATATCATTATAAATTATCTTTTTTAAAATTAAAAGATCAGTTGACTTTCAAATGAGTTAAACTAGAAATTCTTCCAACATTTCTCTTAGGGATGTTTATGATTAGGTTGGGTTTGGGTGCTTTTTAAACCAAACCCAATTATTGAGGTCGTAAATTTAACTAATCTAACCCTAATATTATCTTAAACATCTATCTAATATTGTCTTAACACTAAGATTCGTAAGTAGTGAAAAAATATTTTGAACCCATTGAATTTTCATTATTTATTGGAATACAATTCAATCCTAATAAATCTATATCCAACCGAAATCGTATAGGTTGGATTGAGTTGATCCATTTGTTCAGATCATCGAATTTTCTAAACACCCCTAATTTTTCATATACATTTCATGATGCTGACTATTTTTCATTTATTATTATCATTAATAATTTAAGTTTTTACATTGAGTCAAGGTTGCTTCCACAGAAATGTTAGCTCCCTGATTGCTTATTTATTTACAAGTCAACCGACCACGTGTTATTAGAGAAATTATAGTTATTGTTTTTCCTTTGGGATGGAGAAACTATAATTAATTAATAGTATAATTTTATTCTCTAATTTTCTATTTGAAGATAATTGTATTTATATAAGTAGCATACATGATACATCTTTTTTTTTTTTTACAAATGCAAGCACTTATTTATTATTTAATTATCTTAATAATTGCAAATTACCTCATTTTTGTCTTCCTATATTGCAACTTATTTCCAAGTAATTTTAAAATGGTTTAAACACATTCATATATTTTCTAGTTTGTCACAGAATATAAAAATTTTACACATATTAAATTGTATCTTTGACATTTTTAGTGAAATTGGAAAATTCGGATTATTCTACATTTGTGATGTATGCAAATTCAGTTAAAATATCAAACAAAAAGGGTATAATGTGAAGATTTGCAAATCATAAGGGGTGTTTGAAAACTATTTTTAGAACATAAGGGTGTGATTTGAAATATAGGAAAACCACAATAGTGTAATTTATATAGTATCTTGAATTATTAGCATTTGAATAATTATTGAAACTTATTCAATAAAATATTTAATCATATCAAAAATGGATGACACCAAATAGTTTATTTCATCAAGGATGTGTACAAAATAATTTTTAAATACAAGCTAACATGAGCATAGCTCTAATAAGATTAGTGGTTAAAATTCACATATCTTAAATTTGTTGTAAAAAAATATTATTAAATATTCAATAACGATCAAAATCTATTAAGTTATTTTAGTAAATTGTAGAGTCTAGTTTATATATAAAATAAATCTATATAAATGTGTTGCCATTTTTTAATCACTATTTAAACAAAAAATTCTCTCCATTCAAAGGGAGACCAAAGTTTTGGATTTTAGAAGAATTTTGTTGGGTAAATTTTTATTTTTATTTTTTCTGATGTCAATGGTAGCTTGAAACAAATTAAATGATAGGATGCACCATTTCAAATTATAAATTAATATTAAATATTTTAGTCTACACATTCTCCTAACTTTGTAAGAGAATGTGATGTATTTTGATTGGACATTTTTTGGAATAATATATGAAATTCAATCTTATAATTAAAATATTCCTTTTTTTGTGTGTGCTGCAGAGTCCAAGAATTAAAAATTTCGGCTAGACTTATTCAGGCTGATTTGATCATTTGAACTAACTGGGTGACATTGTTTGACCATATTTTGTGATTTGATGAGATGCTTGAGCTTACCACAATCCAATTACGCGAATAAAAATATTGTCCCAAAATTTGCACGTGCAATCGATCATCTAAATAATTTTATATCTTTTTTGAAGTGCAAAAATAATATTTTAAACCTTCAAATATTAAAAAATAATTTTTGTATATTGATTAGTTTTTCACTTAATCAAGTGACAAGAATATCGGGAAAAAAAAAACTCCTATGAGACTCTTTGCATGTAATTTCAAACATTTATTTATCACAAAAATAAATGAAAATTTTAACTTCAAATTTATTATAATATTTTAAAAAAATGGAATAAAATAATGTTTTCATACTGATTAAATATAAAAATAATAAAATATATAAACAAAATTTATTTTAGAATATATAAAATTAGTTCCTAATATTCTCTAAATGAATTCTAACAATAAAGAAAGTGGCGAGCCTTGGAAAATATGGTAGTCATGGTATCATCTGTGGTTAAACTCTATCGGACAAACAATATACTTCGGGAAAGAGAAATTGTTCTGTATAAGAGTTGGACGGATGTATGACATTATTTAAGAGGGAGCTCGATAGTATTTTGTTCGAGAGAAAGATTGTTCAGAATATGATCATATGTATATAAGTATGAGATAACTTATCTATTTGTATGAGATATTTTTAGTAAAACAAAAAATAAAGTCGTGACGATTATGTTAAAACGGACAATATTACTAACATATTTGGGTTTGAATCCCCCGACCTCTCTATTGTAGTAAAAAAATAATAATAAAGTAAAAATAAAAAATTTAATTACATTTATTGGAAGTGTTTCTCATTTCGTACATTTATTGAACTTTCAGGTAGGGGTAGTTTTGGTAATAAGCAGCTCACAGCCCACAAATCCAAAAGGCCAGCGGTAGTAAGTGATTCAACATCATCCCACGTGTCGACAGACTATTGGGTGAGGGTAAAAGAGTGCAAGATTTACAGAACGCAGGGGAACAAAGCCAAAACCTCATACCAGCCAATAATAACACGGAATCGAAAATCTTTCTGGTTAGACGGATTTTGCTCAAGTTGTTAGAAAGATAGGGGAATCTTGGAAAGAGAGATAGATGGCTTTTAATAATGGAGTTTTTTACTTTTTTAAGGTTTTTATCACTTCGTCTGATATCCACACAATAATACCCCCCAAAAATCTTCTCCTCAGCCTTGACCGGCCATTAAATACTTGGGTCTCTCCCCCTCTGGTTTGTGCACACTACCTGTTTGATTATTTGCCCAAGAGACAGAAAGGGGAAAAAAGGAGAGGGATTGAGGGGGATTGAGGGGTCTGTGGGTGGTGGAGAGATCCGATGGTCCTTTGATGAAGAGGACGACGTCGTTCTGAGGTGAGAAGCAACGACCCCACCTTCACCACGTTCATTATTATCATCCTCAATTCCATCTCTTTTATCTCTTCTTCTTCGTTGCCACCATCATCTCCGCCACTAATCCAAGATCTACTTGTCCTTGTCTCTTGTGTCATTTCTATATTTTCCTTCTCAATCCTAAGGTTTGGGTGCACCTAATTGTGCTTGTATTCCAACAACCCCGATCTGTTTTTCCACCCATATTCTTTTAGTTTAAATCTTATTTAAGAAACAGAATCAGGGATTTTGGAGATATGGGCCATTGCATCTAGACTTATCTTTATCATTATCCTTAATTTTTTTTTCTCTTGGGAGGACTCCAGGTGTCAGAAAACCACCATAGATTTGAGATTACCCCACCCAATCGACAAGCTTCAATCGTGGGTTCATCCAATAGAACCTATTTTACTCACTTCCTCTGATTTTTATTTGAGTGACAGCTGTTTGGGCGTCTGTACGTTTGAATGCTTTAAAGGAAGGAGGATTAAGAAGGAAGCTGAAGAAGCTGTCCTAACTTTCTTTGGGGTTCCTGGATTGATGAAGTGAAGTCAAGTTTCCCACCAAAGTTTGTCTTTTGAGGTGGCTTAAGGCGCCATCTAGTTTGCTTTGTTAGACTTTGACAAGGAGGCCCACCCTTGTGGTTGGTGGGCTTCTTTGAACCAATTAAAACCCACATTTGAAAGGTGCCTCAGGTTCCCCTTATTATATTTGCTTTTTCCTCCTTTCTTAATGATCTAGGACCAAGAACAAGTAAAAGGGGTTTCCTTTCAGTATTATTCCCCTTATTAACCATTGTATTTCCTCAATTGGGTCTTCCATTGATCTTTTCCCCTGTTTTTTATAGGCTAAATCCATTTTTTTATCCGTAAGAAAACGCCCCTTTTCTAATGCTTCTTTGTTTCTTCATCGCTTGCATCTCCTTCATTCTCTTTTTAAAGTCCCTGCCTCTCAAACCGCTCCCATTATGGGCAGATGAGATGAGGTTCTTGTCCCACTGGTTGTGGAAAGAATTATCATTTCTTCTCATCTGCAAGGTGATCAAGAATAGCCTTTGTACTTTTCTGTTTAGTATTCCATCGAAGATGTCCTTGAAGAAGAGATATCTTCCAAAAGTAGAGAATGTTGAGGAAAACGGTGAGATGTCGGTGTTGGATTTGCCAGAATTGGCCTTGGAATGCATTCTGGAGAGACTTCCACCCGATGCTCTATGTAGTATGGCGGGCGTCTGTAGTTCATTGAGAGAGAGATGCATAAGTGACCATCTTTGGGAGAAGCACATGAAGAGGAAATGGGGTAAAGTTATTGGTCAAGCTGCTTACAGGGAGTGGCAATGGCATCTTGCTTCTAGAGCGGGTTTGAATAATCTTAAGCAAAGCAAGCAGAAGAGCCTGCTTAGACTTTTATCTTTTGGTTGGTCTCTTTCATGGATTAGATCAAAGGCTAACGACAATAACTCGCCACGAAACTCTCTACCAGTTGATTCGATCATGGCTTGGTATCTTGCTCTTGAGACGGGCAATTTCTGGTTCCCTGCTCAGGTCTACAACCGCGAGGTAATTGAATCAGGATTTATTCCTTCCACTTGTCAACAAGTGTATCCAGATTTCCCCCCCTTCATGTCCTGAAATTTTTAGCTCTCACTGATCTGAACAGTTAAACAGTGTATTAGGCTGGCTTTTTTTCAGTTATTGTATCTGATATCTGAATTATTCAATTATGCAGAATGGCCATGTTGGGTTTATGCTGTCCTGTTACGATGCGGAGCTTTGCTATGATCCCCGTACGGACACCTTCCAAGCAAGGTGATTAAGCTAATAGCCATTGTGTAACTCAATGGCGCAATTATTGTGCTGTTACTATCATTTTTTGATGAAGAGAACAACTTTCATTTGGAAGAATGCTGTTACTATCTTTCTTTTACTTGTTTCCATCATGGTAGTTGTATTTACTGATATTTCAATTGACTGTTTGTTGCAGGTACCCTCCACATGGTAGGCGAGCAATTGCAACCGAGAACGGGGTGCAATGGGAGAGGCTTAGAGCACCGCCTGTTGATACTCCTCCTCACGATCTTCATATCTCTGACTCTTTGAACGAATTATGCCCTGGTGACCACATTGAGATTCAGTGGAGAAAGAACAAAGAATTCCCTTATGGTTTGTTCTTGAACTTCATCTTATAGAATTTCAACTTGTTCTGAGTCCTAGCATTAACAATCCGCTTTTGATTTTGCCTAAATCAAGATATTCCAGTTTGATGAAAGGTCATAGAAGCAGAAGGAAACTATTCCGTATGAACTTAGTAGAGGAAGTACAAAATAGCAAAAATACTCGGTCGGTGTGTTTCAAAGTTTGTTCATCTGTGCTTCTTTGGGAACAGCAAATCCTTTTTATAATAAAAGGACCTTGTTTCTTATTAGAATATTTAGGCAAGACAGGGGGAAATGCTTATGGCACCTTACTAAAATGCTCGTAGAAATACAGGTGAAGATGAAGAGAAAAGTAACCATACAAATATCAGATAAAGAATCCTTGAGACCCTAAAAGAAAAGATAGATGAAAAAAAAACCATTACTGTTGTAAATTTCTCATAGTGTTTGCTTTAAATAGTTAATCAAATTAAGGTGTCATAAATTGTGGCATGCGCATTGCAGGTTGGTGGTATGGAGTTGTAGGTCACTTGGAAACATGTGATGGGAATGCTAATCACTGCAGATGTCATTATAGTGGTGAGTTTATTTCCTCGCTTTTAGTTTATGTATTTATTTTGGAGTGGCTTGGTGTTTTGTGGAAGTGAAAGAAGAATTATTGGCAGTTGTGCTGGAATCTTGAATATAAGATTTAACTTGAGAAACAAACTTTCATTAAGATAAATAAATAAACGAGGAATAACGAAAGACCCACATAAAGAAAAAGGCCAAGCCAAAAGAGAAGAATACAAAAAACTTGTGAAAAAGAACTCCTTAACTTTTGGCAATAAAAAACTGGGGATAATCCAAAACAACTTTTATATTAAGAGCACAAAGAGAAGGGGAGCACAAAAAGAGGGGTTAAAAATGTGCTGATTCCTTTTCTCTGTCTTTGAAGTAATTGTTTTCTGAACCTTTAAATGTTGTTATCCAAATATTTGTAGAAGAATATTTCTGATGTTTGTAATCTGAGGTATTAAAAGCCATTGGTATCTATTTGCAAAGCTCATAATTTAAACACTCTTCGGAGGAGTGATTTCTTGAAATGTGGATTAAATGAATGTCGACTTCACCTGCCCTGGCCTGGCCAGTGGCCAGAGCCCGTTTGTCTGGGTCGTCTGTTCCAGCACCCTATTGAAAAGCAACCAATTTTTTAAATAGTGGACCAAACTTTTTATGCTATTTGATTGGTCCCCTAGACATTATCGTCAGTATGTCATGATTTCTACCAACATATTCATAACTTTTGTCTGAGTGGAATACCTGTGTCCAACCACTGATCAATAGAATTGCCTTAGTGGAACATTTATGGCCAACCACTCTGAGGTAACTGAATGTTTCCCCAAGCCTTCTGTTATTGGTTGAGCCGGCGTTCTTTATAATTGGAAAATTAAATGAATTATAAAATTTGCTTTTATGGTTGACCGTTTCTAACCAGATATAGATGACAATAGCAGTGCATGATATTCTTACTCTGGCAATGAATAAATTTACTTGAACAAGTTCTGATCAATTTCTGTTTATGATTAAGTATACTCATCCATTAGGTGCAGTTGTTAATACTTTTGCTTTTTTTAGTCATTTTTGCCTTCTTGGTGCTATGCTTGTTAAAACTTAAAATTACCATATGTGTTTGAATTAACTTATCTTGATTTAGACTAATTTTATGAGATAACTACTGGATGACAATTTTTGGTGTTAGATAACTGGTTGTATATTTAATGAAATATGTTTTTTTGGTTATCAATGAAATATGTGTTTTTCATATATAAAAAAAAAAAAGAAAACCTGGTTGGATATTTAATATTTTAGGTAGGATGCCCTGTAGTTTGAATCCACGACTTCAAAAGCATTGAAGTCCCATCAGTTCAAGATTTTTCTAAAACATCATTTCTGTTGAATATAACCAAACGGTTGAGATAGTACTTGATTCTATTTTCTTTCCCAAAATGATGAAATAGTTTGTGGAGATGCCTCGTCTTCCCAACTGTTTTTTCATATCTTAAATATCTAGTTATGAATGCCTCTTAAGGTGACAAGTCATTCCAATTAGTGACTTTTTCCATCATTAAATTTTTTATAGAAAAAAAGGGCTAGGTTCTTTTCCTACATAGCGTTTTAACTTGGTTTTGTCATCATTAAATGGAGGACTAAAAGTGGTTTTAATCGATTATGTAAATTTTGTCAACAGACACTGTGGTGTTGGAATTCAATCAGTACACCCCTGGTTCAAGATGGAGACTTGCAACTGTCGACCGAAAAGATCATCGAGAGGAAGGCAATGAGGTTGACGGGTTCTATGGCGGAATCAGAAAGCTTTGCTCGGACGAAGAAACCTCGATGTGGAAGCGACTTTGGCCTTCCGATATCTTGGAATAGGTACTTGAACAGTTAAATCTAGGAGTTTGGTGCCACTTATGCACCTCTTGAGCATGAAGCTGAAGAGTGAAGCCTATGCTTCTTCTTCATCTTCCTCTATAAACTAATTATACTGTTCCCACGATGTGAAAAGTGATTTTTGAAACAGCAAAAGATATATAGGCTTTCTGTTTAGATTCATTAATGTGAAGTGAAGACCATAGCTGTCTTTACTCTCTCCTTCCTTCCTTCCTTCCTTCCCCCTTTCATAATTTATTGTTTTAAATGGTATTTTGTTTCTTCTTTTTTGGTAGGAATATCGTCACTTTAATGCGATTTGTGGTCCTTGTAAAATTGCCTCCCACTGATTCCCCAAATTGATGTTGCACAAAGAACCCATGGTATATTATAATACAAAGCTTAGTAGTTGAGAGTCTGTGTCTTCCTTTTTGTTCTTGTCGTGGGAGAAAATTGGAAAAATTGTAGCTTTCACAGCCATGCAGCTGACATCATTTATTCTCTCTCTCTCTCTCACTCCAAAGCCGATGAAATTAATCTTCAAGACTTATAAAACAATTCAGTAAAAGTTATCATATATGCCTTCTTTGTATAAAGCCTACGCTAAGATTTATGCCTATCAGATTGCTCAACATTCCCTAGTGGAATCTGGCTTCCTATACAGAATCCGAATGTGTGGAAATTAAAATGACCACTTAGATGTATGGGATAAATTAAAAACTACCTTGGCATAATAATAATATTAATTAGTTAATTAATTAATTAAAAGATAAATTAAAAACTTTTTATTTATTTATTTTTAAATTTAGCTCAGAATTGAATATGTTATTTATGATAGACGGGCAAAGAAATTGAGGAAGCAGATATAAATTTTAGAGATAGAAAACTAAAAATGAAATTGTTATAGGTTTGTCAACTTATGGTTAAGACATATATCTTTCAACCCAAATGGTCAAATATTAGAATCATCCCTCCTACATGAACTTAAAAGAATTATTGTGGGTTTAATTTTTTTAATTTGACATAATTTTGAAGAAAAAATTGATAACATATCAAAGAGACGTGAGTAAATACATTGAACAAACAGAAGACATTAAAATTTGAAGCACCCTTCGAAAAAGTATTCAATCTCATAAATGTAACCCTCCAAATAATCTTCTCTTACGCGGCTGATCTAGCGGACCTGAGACCAAGTTTTCCAAACAATGATAGAAGTTTCCTAAGCTTGCTTCTCTTCCATGTATAAAATCGTGTGCCACCTCTGCGATTTCCGTTTGACTTCAAAATGGGCCCCGACATTGTGAACCTGTCGAATCTGCTTCTTGTTTCATGGTCCATTTTTGCTACTGCTCTTGCAAATGCCAACCCTTTGGGCTCGGTCAACATTTTTGGGCTTCTAACTGGCCCATTTCTAGAATTGGGCTGCTGGATATTCGTGTCGTGAGGTAATTTTGGGCCCATAATTTGTTCTGTTGAGTTGTTGGGAAACGGTGAATGGGCCGGAGCCGGCCCATTATTGTTTGCTTGCGTTTTTCCCGCTCCCTCTTCCTTCACACTCTGCAAGGCTACCAAGAAAGGATCAAAATCATCGTCCCACCGATTCTGATGGACAAATTTGAATTTGAGCGCCAACACCGGCGATCGGGGCGACGACGCGGTAGAGCTTTTGCCGCTACGATTGTCGTTATGGCGCTCAAGACGTGGTGGAAGTTTGAGCCGAGGAGGAAGGGGAAGGACCTTTCCGTCAGAAAATAGTTCATCGGCGAACGCCATCGCAGGTACGAATTCGTCTTCGCTTCTCATTAGTTGCTTGTTTTGCTGCTCGCTTCGATCGACTAGTTCGAGATCGATGTTGTTGAGATTAAAACGACCACTAGTTTCGAATTCAAATTCGTCTATGGTAGAATTGGGATGTGAATGTCCTAATGGAGACAACAACTCCTTCGGACTTGATGGCTCACTGTAAAACTCCATTTTCTTCAGCTGCATTTTCCGGAACTCTTCGATAGAAGAATCGGTTAGGGCTTTGATTTGGCAGAAGGCATCGGGTTTAGAAGGAGGAATAGCTTAGAAAATAGATTGAGTGCAGAGGTATTTCTCCTGAATTGAAGGATGAATTTGTCATGCTTTTGAAGAAATTGAGTTCCCTTCTTCGAAGCTAATCTTTAGAATGATAAAATTATTCAGTAGGATTTCCGAGTTCACGTCCGTATTTTGTCAAATCGTCCCGATTTTCAGCATTTTTCATTATATTATTGCCTGAATGGCGATGGCTTTTGTGAAAGACGAATGGTTTACCGCATTATTATTTATTTTATTTTCTTTCAAAAGAAAACACTATCAATTTAAAAGTTTAAAAAACAAAAGTATATACAAACCTCTATTTTATCTATTTATTCTCTATTATTTGTAGCCTGTAGGTCAAGCGTCTCACGTATGTCTAACTGAATAGAGAATGATTGCATTATTTTTAACAATTATTTCATAAAAATATATTATTTAAGAAAAGATTTACATTGTTATTTTATAAACATTGAAATTCTTTTTTCTAACTCCTATATTTAATTTAGTGAGTCGGTTTTAATTTTTAAAATTTTAAATTTAAACAATTTTTTTTTTTTGAGAAATAAATTTAAACAAATTTAATCTTGAATAAGTAGCGGAATTATCAAATTAATATTTTTAATTAATAAGATTTCCATTAAAAAAAAGTATTTGTGGTTAAGTTTAGAGCATTTTTGTGGGTAGTGATTATTTTTATTAGGTTGGATATAAGATCTAGAGGTAAAATAGGGAGTTTGAGAATGAATCATGTTCTCACGATTCCTAATTTTTTTTCTTCAAAAACTCTTCCTAGTTTAATTGAAATTGCTTTATTATCTACATGCCAAACATATATCATTGACTAAAAGATCGCAAGTTGAATTCTCATTTTCAACGTTTTTATACTAAAAATAAGTTTAACTTAGATATGAAAATGTATTAATTTCACAATTTCTCCGGACTTTAGAGCTCAACTAGGTGAAATTTAAATTAAGTATATGGATAAAATTTCAAAATGAGATTTTCTCAAAAGTTAATGTCTAAAACTTGTTTTCTTTCATCACTTTTATTTGATATTAAACCAAAGATGTATAAAATCTAGAAAAGTTTTTAAAACGTAATTTTTTTAAAACCAAAATAATATAATAATTATTTTTTGTTAAGATTATATAATGTCATGCAATTTTTTTTATAATATAGCATTGTAAATATAGAAGCAATAATTTAAATTTTGTAAATAAAATTACTAATGTCTCTTAATCATTTAAGTCTACAATTTTACGACTAATATTAAGATGAGTTTTTATGTTTTGTCCGAACCTTAGAATAAAGATTGAATATTTAAAACTATAAAAATTAGAATAAACCAAATATAACTAAGTTACATTTTTTGTTATTGAAATTTGGATTTGATTTTTATAACAATAATAATAATACAAAAAGTTGCCAATTCATTTGAAAAAATATATATCAACAAAGCAGTATAGGTTAAGTAAACTAATGTTGGGGACATTTGAAATCTAATTCAAATATTAGACACAAATTAAAAGTTAAATTAAAGTTTCAAATTAAAATTTGAACATAACTTAATTGATTATGATGTGTTTTTTCTGATTATGATGTATTTCTATAGTTAAAAGGTTGAGATTATTTGAGTTTATCTCAAGTGATTAAGATATATTTTTCTGATTAAAATGTTGGGCATTCGAATCCCTATATTGATGTTGTATTGTACTAAAAATATTGAAACATAAAAAAAGAGGCTTAAATTACTATTTCGCCTTTGTATTTAAGTTTTTGTTCATTTTGATTTGACTTTCAAAGTATTCATTTTTATCTTATACTTTAAACTTTAGTTTATTATTTTTGAAAGGTTTGTTTTCGTGTTTATTTAAAAAAAAATGATATTTTTGGTTTCTATTTATAAAAAATTGTAACACAAGTGAATCAAAAATGAACATTTTAAAATTACATAAATTAAATAAACTAAAAATTAGAGCAATTAAAATAAACATTTTAAATGGATTAAAATGAAGGATACCGAAATAATATTTTAACCTAAAAATTTGGAAAGCCATATAAAATTGGAGGGATGCCAAATAACCTTAAACCATTTTCGAATTATCCATTACAATTACAAGCTGAGTGGTTCGTTTAAGTACATATATTCGTGTCTCTCTCCCTCCGGAAGTTGAAGTTTGTGAGTTGATGGAATCCCTTCCATTCTCAACCAACGCACATCCACTGCAATTGCAAGTGCAGTCCCACTGTTTCATGAACTCCCTCTCTTCGAAGCTCAAACCCGAATTTTACCACTTCAGACTTCTCTGTACTTCTTCTTCAGTTCACCCTCCACAAATTCCTGCAAGACCTTCTTCTTCTGGTCGGAAAGAGAGCGGTGGAGCTGCTAAACTGAAGATCGCCCATTCTCAACTCAAGGACAACTGGTTGGCGTCTCTTTCCTCTCCTTTTCCTCTAGGTCACGATCACCCCATCAATGGTAGCCGAGGAGACCTAAATGCGAGTTCCGACTGTGTTATTGGGGTCGATCCTGATGTTTCTGGTGCGGTGGCGCTCTTGAGAACCGACTACTCGGTTTGTTCCGCTCAGGTAATCGGTTTCGTACCACGTATTTGTTGCTTCAATTTTTTTTTTCTTGTTTTTTATACATTCGTCTAATGTGCTTAAGTTTGATGGTCATATTTGACTAAAGAGGTTGATATATATATATTTTTTAATCTTTATGTTCTTCAATTTGTCAGGTATATGATTCTCCACACCTGCAAGTACTGGTTGGTGGAAGGAGACGGAAACGTTTAGATGCCAAGTCAATAGTCCAGCTTCTTCATAGCTTCAATGCCCCCATTGGTATGATTGTCCATCTGTAGGTTATTGCTCCTGATTGAACATTTACGAGTTGCTGCATTTATGTAGGGGTTGGGGTTGAGTCTTTATTTGATGCTCAATTGACATTCACGTTTCGGTGTAAGATAACTGTGATCATAACAGAAAGAATATTTGAATTTTTATTGCCAACTAATTTATGTAGAGAAATTGAGAATGCCCTTTGATCTCTCTCTCTTTCCCTCGTAAATATTTACAAAAAGTTCCTAAAGAAAAAGAAAATCCTATATTCATCATATTGAGTTTCACTTCTTCAACTGAAGCTCCTTAGTTTCACACATCTTTTTTATGTTGCTTTAGTAAGAAAACATTCTGGTATCCTTGTTCTCTTCTTCCCTTTGCTTCTAGGGTTTTCTCATATTTTGATGCATACTTCTATTTTGTTCATTAATCACATATGTAACTCTGTCTTTAATGAGTTGCCAATCCCTATCTCTAGGAACTACTGCATATCTGGAGCAGTCAACCCCATATCCACAGGATGGAAAACAGGTACACGTTTCATTTTAATGGGAGGATTCTGTTGGACCTAGATCTTATGCTAAGAAGATGCAAACCTGTTTACAATTGACCACACTTTTTTTTCTTTATTTTTTTTGGAATAAACATTTATTTATTTTTCATATGTTATCTGGTAAGTGGTATGACTTATTTGAAAGGAGAGGACCAAGATAATTTTTAAAGATAATCTTGGGTCCATGCCAGAAATTGTAGGGCTATGATGGGGGAGGTGCTTTTATTCCCCCCTTTTCGGGATAAGGGTCGTTTTTTGTGGCAGGCTTGCTTTCTAGCTATGTTACGGGGTATTTGGCTGGAGAGAAATCATAGAGTGTTTAGGGGGGTGGAAAAGTTTGTGGATTATGTTTGTGACATTGTTAGATTTAACACTTCGTTATGGGGCTTGGTTTCTCATCTCTTTTGTAATTATTCGCTTGGTCTTATTTCTTTGGATTTGAGCCCTTTTCTTTAGGGGGCTTCCTCTTGCCGGGTTGTTTTTTGTATGCCCTTTTTAGGCCTTTTGGTGTATATTTTGTATCCTTTTCATTTTTTTCAATGAAAGTTTTGTTTCGTATCAAAAAAAAAAAAAAGAGAGAATACGGAGGAGTTACGTTATGTGTGTGTGCGTGGCAATTTTTCTCTATTTTTTTAGAGCTTCCATGACATGTCTTTCTTATTTTGCAAGATTGGTTGAGCTGTAATCCAATTTTGTTTTGTAGAACAAATCATCTTACCCATCTTTCTATCTCTTTCCTTCTTTTAATTTTTTTTCGCACTTTTTGCATAAAGTTTTTGAAGTAGAGCGTGTGTTTTAACCTTACTGGCCTTACATTTTGAGATGCAAGTTTTAGTTTAGCTTCCTTCATTTCATTAGAAGAAGGAATATGATTAGTTGGTTGTGGCTTTCCTTGGTTTTTTCTTTTCCTCTTCTTCTTCTTCTCTTCTTATTTCTTTCTAATTCCATTCTTTGTGTTTAAGGGATGGTGGAGTGGAGGATTTGGTTATGGATTGTGGATTGGCATATTAGTTGGGCTGGGATTTTCTGTTATTCCTGTGCCATCTCTTGCGTGGAAAAATAAATTTGAGCTCTCGGGAAAGGATACTTCTAAGGTCAGTTCAGCCAAATAACCTACATTAGTCAAGCTAGTTGTTTAATTCATATATAGATCAAACACTTCACAATGTTCAATATTACCAAGGGCAAGCTAAGTAGTCTTTTATCGTATATTTGATATCTTAATCTTCAGTGTGCGTTAGCAATATGTAAAAAGTTATCTGCAGAACATACAATTATGGTTGAGTTCTGTTTTAATTTAATGATTTTACAATTTATATTTTCTTTGACAATCATCCCATGATTCATTCTGACAAAGGAGAAAGTTCTTCCTATCTCCTTCATAACAAATGCTTTGCAACTTGTTATTTGACCTGTAACAGTGTAACTTCTCCTAGGTAATTAGCAAGCTTTGCATGCTGATAAGAGAACTCTTCTTGTATAAAAGGAAGTTATTTTGATAAAGTTACACACATGTTATAGGACAGAAAAATAGTTGAGGGACAAAACTCAACAGGTTCTCTCCAAAATTGAAAACAGGGCAACCATTTATCCGAATAAATGGTTATATTTCTGGTTAGTTTTTAAAACTTGACTTTTGCTGATATGTGAAAAATTATTCTCTTATCACTTCCATGAAAATAGTTCACAAGGTTACAGAGCCATCCCTGCTCGTTTACCATTGTAATCTCTTTTAGTATAATAATTTTAACCTCTTTTAGTATAATAATTTTTCTTGGAATAAAATGTTTTAGAAGTTGATGAATTTATACTGGAAGCTAATAGAGACCAACTTGGTTTTAATTTATTTCTTGTTATTAGTTAAAAAATTTCCTCGCTCTATTCCCTTTGGAGGACTGTTTCTATATTACTTGGTTATACTCGGCGGTGGATGAAAAAGCCTTTTTTTTACAGCTAATTACATTTTATGTAATTTCACTTGGACCTTGAAATTATTTACTTATATTGGTTTCAAGAATTGGTTTCTCTATTCTCCTAGTAAGCGCTAAAAGTCGGTTATATTCATTATGCAATCCTGAGCTTTGTGATTATATGTTTTATTCTATATTCTTTTGTCCAAAAGTTTTCTCTCCTAGACTTATTTTATTTTGTTTTCAATATTTACTTGGTAGGACGATAGCCGAAGAGTTGCATCTACATTATTTCCGTCTCTAAGCCCCCTTCTGAAAAGGAAAAAAGATCATGGTATTTTACCTTGTATTCTGTCCTCCGCTTTTTTTTAATGGCGAATACTTCTATATTTGCTTGAGATTTCCAATACCATACCTCATGAATTTCGATACGTATTCTGTACTCTTGGGCCTTTTTAACTGGGCTCTACCAAGTTAGAGTAACTGACGTGAAGATAAACACTTGTTTTTTGAATATTTTTATGTTTAATCTGAAAACTTGACTATGATTTATTCCTTCAGCTGAGATGTCGTGAAGCTATTCTACCTATCTAAAGAATTTCTTTTCCATCATAGATTTGCACAAGATTTCCTATAGAAGTAGTGACTAAGTTTATGGCTCCTACCATCAGAAACGAATGTGAGAAATGTCCACTTGTTTTAGAACTGTCTTTAACATGGCTTACTTATCAGCTTGTTATCTTGTAATTACCAGATTATTTTCAACTCATTGGAATTCTTTTTTGGAATTACCTCTCAACATTTGTATCTTCATTTCATTTGTGTCATGAACCAGGAAAAACAGAGTTCGGGTTGATTTGATGAAAATTATTCTTTCATGAACCAGTAAAATATATTCGACTTGCAGAAGTAATCTCTATGATGTTGATCTTCATGGCCCCCTTATGATTTCCTCATATTTGCAGGAAGGGCCGAGGCTTTACTCATTGCTGCTTATGGAAAAGGCCTGAACATGAATCTAGAAACACCACGTGTCTTACAGGAATCGATAGCGTCTTAGATTTGGCTGAAGATCCTAGCTTTCTTCTTAATCCCGAATTCAGGTTCGAGTTTGGTACGAATAGAATGAATGATGAGCGATGGGTCTGAGCATATTCCCCACTAGATGAGGTTCTTTGCTTCTGTAGATTATTTTGACCAAGGCAACCATTCATCTTGCTATTTTTGAAATGAGCCTTGTAGCCTGTAGATGTGCCTTAGTAACCAAAAAAAATTGATGTAGATTCTTAATATGATTATAGAGATTGACAAAATTTAAAATAATTCCCTTTGGAGAAAACTCTCCTGCTACCTGTTAGCCACCATTATTCAATGCTTTTTGGTTTCTTTTCAAATCATTATATGATTGAATCAACACAATTTTTAATTTTTAATTATAGCTTAGTGTAGATCCTTCAAGATTGGAAGACGTTAATGCACTAGAATTTTTGGGAGGGGTGTTTCTCACCCAGCTCCTAGGCTGTATCGTGTTAATGTATTTGTTTCTTATCCCAAAAAAACAAAATAATAATAATTTTAAAAAGGAAAAAAAAACAGTTCAAGTTGGTCATTTTAGGTCTCTATTTAGGAAGAAAAACTTGGTTGAATCAACCAAATCAAGTTACATTTGGAGAGTAAATTTTAACTAATTTAGTTAGACAACACAGTTTTCAGAGGGTCGAGTTTTTAACTCCAGAAATTTGATCTACCAAAATGAATTAGTGTAACATAATCTTCATAGTTGTTGGGTTGGATATGGATGAAATTTTCTGCCTGGAAAGAATTTCTTACTTCCTCTCCCTCCGAAATGTTTTCAAAATTATATACAAATTTTAGATCAAAAGACTATGTTAAACGTGATCAAGATTTATAACTCATGCTGAAGATTTGGCATTTGTTTACCCTTAAAATTCAGGTGCTTCTTCAAAGAGCGATGAGAAATAGAATAAATCCATCTTTTCCAAGAGAACAGAAGCGGACCACTATTAATATCGAATGCGTTTTTTCCACTTTTACACTTCAAATTAAAATAATATAAAGTTATAAACAAATCCAAAAAACTAAAATTAAAAAATTAAGAAAAAAGGTCACCAAACACATTTTATCTTTTATCAATTTAAGAACATGGTGAGCAGTGGGAAATTGACAGTATGGTTAAGATTTGAAATTGACATAGGTCACAAAAATCTAGCCTGTGGGTGCATCTAATAAATTTTGCAGAAACCAAAAGGTTGAAGAAGAAAACAGAGAGCTACTTCATTCGAAGGTGAATTTTGAGAAGGAACTGAAAAGTCTAATAACTTTAGGCCATAACGGATTTTAGGGCATTACAAATCTTGCTGGGATTTCCAAAGCTTCTATTTAAGTGTGATCTCGTAGATGACTCCTTGAAGATTCCCTACAACTGATCGCGTTCCAGCTACTTCAGTCATTTGCATCCCGTGCCGAGCAGCTTCGTCAAGTATCAGAGCATCCATGCTACAGAAGAAATGAACCAAAGCAACTTTTAGTAAATAAAAAGAGCAACAACCTTACTTGAACAAGATCTTTTCCATAGGTTGTACTACTATGTTCTTAAGTTCGAAACAGACCAGCATTCATGCTAGTTGTCTACTCCTATAGACTATGTCAATAAAGAAACACTGCTAGAGGTGGTAATCATAGGAATACCAATGATACATTGCTTGAGGAAGAGGTGAAAATTGCCAAGTGACGGCAATAACGAAGGAGACCATACTCATTGTCTGAAAATAAATTCTAGATTTTTTCATGTCACATTTGATGCCAGATGCTAAATCCAGGAAGATGAGAAAAACATAGGAGATGGGGGAGGTAGAAAGGGATTCTGGAAGGAATTCAGTATGAAGCTTAAGCTAAATTTAGACGTCTATTTTGGACACTGCCATAAAATAATTCCAATGAGCAGAAATAAGCCGGGAATCCTCGACTAAAATTCCTCAGATTCTCAAGTTTTACTGTTTTAAAGAGCTTTATGAAAATACATTTCAATTTGTGTTGTGGCTTTTCTCACAAAGCAGCCCATCTATCTATATATATAGAAATTAATCACTAAAATGGAAATCTACAATTAGAATTTTTGGAATTAATCAACGAGTAGTTAACAGATATTACATGTTGCCATATGATGTAGATATACAAATGGTATTTAACTTCAATCATCCTTGAAATTAATCAAGAAACTTTTTGGTCTATGTTAATTTCCAAAGGGCTTGATGAGTAAGCATATACTTTTTCTTGGGTCAAATTCCAGTGAATTAGGTCAAATCCACCAAAATACTTGTCAAAAGAGAGAAAAGAATAAGCATTTATACTTTTGGAACCTTGCAATGTATCATGCTTTAGAACAAAGGGAAGATATCTAGAAGATACCTTGCAATGGACCATTCCGGAGTCTACTTTTATCAATGAAGTAAAAGTTTAGGCTTCTTCAGAAACTGGAAACGTAATAATAACATAAAGCCAAGGAGTTACTCACATCTTAGCTCGGGATACGTAAGCAAGTATGAATTTGCATTTTCCTCTTTCTCTAACTTGGAGGAGCCGTTCAGCTGTTTTGAAGAGCAAGGGCACACTTGATTGTTGAAAGCTTAATAACTGTCAAGGTTATTCGGAGATGAAAATGCAACATTTCCTGTACAAACAAGTTATTTGCAAGCTAGTGGCTTCATTCTTGCCTAAATCTATGTGAGGAAGTGTCCCCTCTTCTTGGGTCTTCTGTTAAAATATTGTAAAGCTAAAAAATAAGTTGGGCTAGAAACAAGACTGAAACTGCTTCATTCTGATATTTTTTTTTCTATTTGATAAATGATAAGAAATGGAGAAAAGAAAGGTGAAAAAGAATTACTGAAACCAAGCAGCCAAATTTTTACTTTCCTTTCTCCTGCTAATCTAGATCCGAGGTAAGCTGCATGGAACTTCTCAACCCTAAATCTTTCTCAATACAACAATAGAAAACGAAAGAAATGAAATCTGCTTTATGTGAAAGGATTAAAAAAAATACGTAAAAGAGAAGAATAAAGGAAAAAACAGTCCTGATTTTCAAAATCTTTCGCCCCCTTTAATGCCAAACCAATTACTGACCTACTAACGTGGCATTTGCTTTAACATATGAATTTGAAATGTGATGCATCAAATATTAATCGTGAGAAAACCTAAACTCAAGACTTACATAAGAAGTCTGATTAAGTGATAAAAACATTTCTGTTCAAGGTATAACATACGTTCCTAAGAATAATCAAGCATCAAAGAAACTTGAAGATGAACCAATCAAACCCTATCAGTATTTCTGCCTCCTAAGTCCTAGGAGGTTATGATATGGAATCGATTATGTCCACACATTACCAATTAGCAAAGAGAGGAAAGTTTGGCACGTTTTAGGACCTTAGGCTGTTTTTCTCTCTCGGCTGTTTAACCTTAAGGTCCTTAACGTACCAAAAACTCATTTTGTCAATTTAACATTTCTTGAGCAAAATGAATAAGAGTCAGGATATAGATATCAGCACCAAGAATTAGGTCGAATCCACCAGAATACTTGTCTAAAATTTGAGTTATCTGATCAGAATTTCCCCATTCAAGCTTCTCGGCTACTAGTCCTGCATAGAATTGTAAATATAATTACATCCAAACAAATAACCTTTTTTCAAATTGTTTCTCTCACCAGCAGAATTTCCGAGGGATTCGGGAGATGCATGAAGCTGTATGTTTTTCCTCAGGATCTGTGACATTATATACGAGGTCATCAGACAACAAAGAGAGAATAACTTCTTATAATATATATATTTCTAAATTTATTCAGATTAGTCTAATGACCTCGCCTTTAGAACTTCCTCATTATGGTCTGTCAACACCACTTTGTGGCAAGATTTGCTGCAAAGTATTCCAGTGACACCTGTGATTTTAAGAAGATCGCCCATGTCATATCAGAACTTCATCATTGGACATTATATGGAAAACAACGAAAGAAAGCAAAGACATCTTTTTGTTTCATCTTCGTGGAGTAGCAATAATAGTCTTTTTACTAATTATGATCTCTCCATGATTTGTCCCAACTAGAGGTCTTTTTCATAATCTCCTGACTTCTGTTGGCTTTGTCCGCCTTTATTTCATAATTTGAATGAAATTTGTTTCTTAAAGAAAACTCAATCTTATTTCACTTGAAAATGAGAATTCTGTTAATACATTGTTCTCAAATTGTTTAGCATGATCTTTTGTTTCTTAATACAATAAACCTATTTCAATAATGTTAAATGTTTTTAGTTGAGATATTCCCAAGATGGTCCTTAACTTGAAGAAGAAGAGGAGGGAAAAAAAAATTTAAGTGTTTAAGAGAACAAAGATCATAAAAACAAACAACTGCATGATAATCTACAAATAGTGTAAGAGTTCCTCGCTAGTACATTTTTGTAAAACAGACAATTCACCCAAATACAATGTAAATTGGTTTTCTTTTTCCTTAAGATGATAGTCATAGATGCCAGAGAAAAATATATTCATCCCCAAGCCTTACAAAATAAGATACCATGTCATTCGGAGCAAGATCTTTCAAGGAATACAATAGTCCACTTTACATGATAACCTAAGAATTATGTTCATTTCTTCGTGTTTAATTTTTATGTAAATTACGTTGCAGCTAAGTTTTTCTCCAGCATGTGCAGTACTGGGGAGTAAGCTGTATAGAAGTGTGAAAGGGAATTTTATCGAGCCATTGTTTCATTTATGTCTAATATTGTGCGCTGAGAAAGATTTTGAGAGCATTAAAACTGAATTTCAATGTATAGTTAAGGTTCGTCCAAAGACTTGGTTAGATAGGAATTATAGAAGTTCTTATGTAATTGAATTGAGAGAATTTATTGGACAACGTTAAGTCATTGGTTCTTCTTGGTGTACTTTCCTCCATCCTTTTCTTTTCTTTCATATTTACGATTTTTTTTAATCATCACCAGTTGGATCGAGTTTTCATAATTTACTCTGGTTTAGGTGCTTTCACCTCTTTGACACTTTTATACTATCCATGGGAAGTTGTTTGTTTCAAAAGAAAAAATAAAGGACTCTGAACTTTTATGTTCTAAAATAAGTTGAAGCTACTTTCTTGCTGTGCTCTGGTTTTTAAACATCAAGGACTTGTTTCTGTTGCATATCTTGGACTCAATTAGAACCCTCAGTTTTCTAAGTTCACTCTCGTCTTTATGAGACTATACTTGGGATTTCCCACTGTATCTACCTTCAAATACTCGCAGGCTGCAAAAGCAGATTCTTTCATCTCTATCCTCTCTCTACCTTCCACTTAATAGGTATGCTATCCAATAAATACAACCATAATAAACATTTCAATCTACAATTTACACATGCAAACTACGCAAAGGAATCTCTGCTCCAGAAGTCACGAGGGAAGCAAGCAAATTCAGTCAAAGTACATACCAACACCAGATCCTAGTTCAATGATAGAACATCCTTGAAGCAGGTGAGCATGTTTCGAAAGATAATTGTTCAAGAGCAACGCACCAGGCCACACTAATTGGCCCGTTAAATCAAAATCAGCTGTTTCAAGAATTGTTAGTTTAGCAACATTTCCAAGGAGCTATAAGATATAATAACTTGATGTGCTCATGTTGACTTAAAAATATATATCTATTTCAATGCAAATAAATTACAACATTAATATAGCATGAATGCATAACATTTGGGGCCACCTTTTAGCAAATAAGGAATGATAGATTATATTTTTAACATCGTTGATAACTTTAAAACCACAAAGGAGGTTCTATAATCCAAATAACATGTGTGACACGATAATTTAAATTCTTCACAGAAAAAATACTTGAGAAAACCTTTTGTTTCAGAAAAGAAAAAATGATTTGGTGAGTATAGCTATTCCTTTAAGGGTTTGACTTTATATTCGATTAACAAATACATCTATGATCCAAACAAAGCACATAAAATGTAATGCATTTAACAAAATTATCCATATCTCTTACATCATATAATAACATTGATGTATACTAAACTGCTAATATTAATTTTCACACTTTCCATACTTTATTGGAATATCTATCAATTTTATCATTTGATAAATTGAAACCCTAAAACTAAAACTATAAAAAAAAAAATATATATATATATATATATCCGAGACAATAACGTTGATCACTCTTGAGAAATGATCGTAGCAACCAGAAGCATTCGTGGGCCGATATAGGCATATTAGTGCCAATAATTACTGGCTATTATTTATATCATTCGAACTACATGAGCTTATCCGGTTAGCATAAAACAAATTAAGTATATCGTTCATTTAGCATCGAAACTAACAAGGTATGCAAATGTACAGGGAATTGAATCCAAAAAGCAGGCGTATAAGAAATCCTCGAGTAATCCGAGACAAAATTAGCAGCAATAATTCAACAACACAATCACGTAAAGTGAAGTATATTCCGCAAAACGCAAAGTTAAAACAATAAAACTCACTGGAAGCTGACTGAAGACAGAGGAGTTCGATCACATGGGACCCAAACGTAAACGTGGTGAGCCGATAACTGCATATTCGTAAACAAGATATCGTTAGATTTTCGGAGAAAGAAACAGAAAAGGAGTCGACAAAGAGAGAATTACTCGTTGTTCATAAAGAATGAAGCATCTAAACAAACTATGTCTTCCTCTTCCTCTTCTCGTTCCATCAGTCTCTGACTTCACTAGATTTTTGGCGTTCTGAAGGTCTGCGAGTCGGCTTGCCAGGTCTTGAGTGTGGTTGAGCTCAAGCACAAAAATGGGCGCCCGTGTTCAAAAAGTGAAATACGATGTTGGATCAATGTTAAATACACTATTCTAGATTCATTTTCTTATAATTTGAACATAGCCAAATGCCTAATTTTTGTGCCCACTTTTCTAAGTTTTTTTTTTTCGCATTTTTCTAAGTTTGAAAAGGTTTTAAATGTTGAGTGCGGTCTCAATTTCATGGAAATATCGATAAAATATCGATGTTGATAGATATTTCTGTAAAAGTTATAAAAATTAAAAAATTGTCAAAAATATTTAAATTAACAGATAAACATTTTCATATTTCTAAATAAGTAAAAAATAATAATTAATATTGATAATATGTATATATTAGTGATGTTGATTTTTTTTTATATTTTATCGATTTTTTTGTACTATAATGGAAGTATCGATATATCCTCATGTCTATGTCGAACCCATGAAAATATGGACATGTAGATGAAAATATCGACGTGTGCCTAAAAGAAAAAAGAAAAAATAAAAATACTCATATCGTGATCTTACATTAGGTTATATTTTTTTAATTAATTATTATTAGTTTGAACTTTTTTGACATTTTGACAAAAGATATATATTTTAACCTATTTATTATTTTTCAAGTAAGTTAGCTAGAGTGAGATTTGAACCTGACTTTAAAGAGATGACTTGTATACCTTAATTAACAAGTTTATCTTATAAACTTGTGTGCATGATCTATTTTAAGTGCAATTGATCATCCAAAAAATTCTATCCTTCCAATGTATATTTTTTTAGTTCAACCAATTTGCGATACAAAGATTTAAAATTCCGTATTTTGAAAAGCGAGTACATGTCATTTCAATCAAAGGAAGAGTGAAAATTACTCCATGAGAATTTCATAGGTGATCAATGAATCTCAAAAAGACTTATCGCTCCTTATTATTGACCCGCATGCTAATGACGAGGCGCTTTAGAGGAGGTCGTCTTTGAGAAGAGACAACATCGATGGTAGAAAAACCTACATGGGTTGTGGGAAGTGGTGAACCCATAAGCACACGCTATATTTGACTAACGATGACCCCATACTCTTTGTTACATGTAAAATTTTGAGCAATCATTGTTGGCTCCCACAATTGGTTTATGCCAAAATAGATGGAGGAAGAGCAGACATATATATGTTTCACACCGGACATAAAAATGATTATCATTTTAGTCTCATCTTTGAATTTGATCTCAATTTAATCTCTATGATTAAACTTTATTAATTATACGGCCGTGGTTTGGTTATATAAATAAGAAGATGTTTGTATTGTTACATGATATTAATAGTTTTAGTACAAAGTATATTTTTAATTGAAAGATTAGTGAGAGAATAATTAAATAGGTAAAACATTAATTATCTTTTCAAAGTTTCAATCTTTCGATCTAGAAATAAGAAAAGAAAAAAGTTTCAGTACTACGAAAGATACATATTTATTCTGTTCACACTTTGGCACAAATAATGCATTGTTTATTTTGTGTCACAAAAATATTTTAAACGCGGTTGAGCTGATAGATAATAAACAGACAAAATTCCGGAAGCATGTACCACCACAAACCTAGATTTTTTTTCTCAAGCGTGAAGGACCCACGTGGACTCCATTCAACCCCATTCCACTGGGTCATTTCAATGGATACACAAATTAGCGTACACGTGGCAACAACTGGCTGGGTAAGTAAAATTCCCACGTCTCGTATCGTATCAGGCCAACCAGTACGAGCACCGTCCAAATTGACGGTGGAGCTGCACCTGCACGCCGGAGCCACTCGCGTTGCCACCGTGGCTGCTGCGATACGGCCACCGCAGCGGGACCCACCCCACGCGACTCTGCTTCTGGTCCGCGTTTTTTCTTTTCCCGTTACGTTGGACAATACTTCGTTTTCAACGAGAAAGAATAGAGATTTTTTCTTTTTTCTTTTCATTTTCCAAAAAATAGATAACTATTAAAAATTAATGGCTTGAATTTTTAATTTTTATTTTTTAAGTTGAAACCATTGACTTTTAGAATATTGGTGTCCTTATCCACCGAAGATTGAAAGTTTGAATAGTTAATCACTAGAAAAGCATTGCTCTTTAATTTTTGTTTTTCTACTTCTCAAAAATTGTTTTGTAATTTTTTAAAATTATTCAAATTTTAAATTAAAAAATAAGTTTTGTTTGTTTGTATTTCTTCTTAAAAATTTGAATAAGGATTCTAAGTGTATCTTAAAAAAGAAGAAAAACTCCAATAAAAGTTTGAAAAACAAGATATCTTGTTGGATAATGCTTTCGAGTTTTTTTAAAAATGGTAATTACTATAATTATTCTTGAATTGTCACCCTAATGTGTCTTTAATTATTTCAGAGTTTCAATATATGCCCACATTAGTAGATCAACATACACATTTGAAATCACATAATCTATTTGTTAGATTAAATTATACCTAATTTAGAATAAATTACTTAAAATAGATCTATTTCATATTCAAGTGAGCTTATATTTATATAATTATGTTAATTATATTTAGTTAATAGATTATCAAGTTATGTATCTATCATCAAATAAATGTGTGACGAGTACTAAAAAAATAATAAAATAAATGTATGACGAAATCCTAACAGTTTTAGGTATTATACCAATTATACTTTCTCTTAACAAAACAATTCAAAATTGTTACATAGAATTTTAGAGATGAGATAAATATTTTGTAAATTAAAGAACTAAAACAAAATTTAAACTAAATTTTAATTTAATCAATTTAAATTTATATTAAATGTTAGCAACCATTAAATTTGATGAAAAATTAACAGTAAGGGGGAGATTGAAACTTCATACTCCAATTTATTGTATTAAAAAAAGTAACAAAATAACTAAGATATAATTGAGAACTTAGGAGTAATTACTGTAAATTGTTGCTTTTGCTTCAAAAGAGAGATTAAAGGCTATTATGATGGGAACAATTAATAATTAATTTGAAGAGAGAGGAGAGGAAGGGGATGAAGAAATACGACCAACTTTCAACGGACAACTACCCAACCTACTACCTATCCCTCTCTTGAACCAGAGAAACCTCTATTTATTGAAACTGACTTTAATTCGAAATCGAAAAATAAAAAAATTGAAAAGGAAATTCGGCATTAACGACGTCCACCAACCCAACAACGCAGGGAAATTTCGATTTCCTTGTTTGCTTGTTTGGGATGAACTGCATCGCATTTGGTTGCGTTTGAATTACAAATTCAATCACCATATAATTTTTTTTCCTCGTCGGTTACTACTTTCTTCTCTCCCACCGCGCGAAAGTGATCTTTCCTGATTCTCTACTCCAGGTTCGATTCTTTTCTTCTCTTTGTTTTGTCCCTTTTTTTTTTCTGGGATTTCTGTTCTTGTGTTTGGCTTTCCAGAAAGTGTAGAAAAGGGGAAACTGCCTAATATAGAAGCCATTGCTGTTGTACATCCCTTAAATCGTTCGCTGTTTCTTTGGTGTTCGTAAATTATATTCTGTGCACTTATGAATTTGTGTGGGAGTTGGCTGATTTTTGTTTTTTTATTAGTTTTTCTTTCAAGAATTATGTTGAGATGGCTTGGGAGTTTTCTGACCGAGAATTTCAATCGTTTTTTTTTTGTTTCAAAATTTATTTACATGCTTGTTTCGGAGTTCTTAGTTCCGCTATACTCCTGGGTTGAGTATTGTAATTGCTAATTGGAGTTTGATGAAAATCAGTTTCCATATTGCTTGCTTTGAGCCCGGGTTTCCTATGATTTGCCATCTCTACTGGCCCTCTCTTTTTGGGTTCTGATGCTATACTGAATTTTACACACTGCGTCGAAACTAATGCATGGATTGTTGAGACCGCACCTTTATTCTTGATTTTTAGGGTGCCAATGAAACTTAGATTATAACAGCTTTGTCATTTGTGATGGAGAATTTCACTGACAGTATTTATTGGGTCGGTAATCAATGGCATGTCTGTGGAAACTCTCATTATATGTGGAAAATTCATGAGTATACAAAATTTTTCATATATGCCTTGGTGATTTTTTTATGGCAATTCTTCAATTGCATCCAAGATCAGAACGAGCATGCCAGCGGGCCAATGCTGTTCCGTTTTCGAGTGAGCTCAATGTGTAAAACTCCTAGGAATTGGATAGAGTCGATGGAAACTTCTGTAAGTTAGAGGTGTTTGTGCAACCTTGATATATATTGTTGTACCTCTTGGTACAAGACAAGACTGAGTAGTGGGAGCAATGTGCCTTTTATAATCTATAATCGGCATGCAATGCAGGAAATCTGAAATAGGAATGTTCAGATTTAAATTAAAAAAATAAAGTTCATATCAGAATTTTTATTTTCACATCATCTGACTATTTAATGTGGTGGAGACTGGAGGGGTATTTCAATGGCGTAGATACAAAATTACTAGCCACATGAAGATTATTAGTTTTTTTTGACATTGTTTGGACCACGAAGGTTAAGATCAATGGATACTTCAATAGAGTTCACCGACAATTTGCAGATGATCTAGTACGGGGGCATTTAATTTTATGTTAAGAGTCCATGCCCTGTTGCCCTAAAGACTATTTGCATCTAACTCTAGTGTCTTTCTTTGCCTTTTAATTTTTGTTATACCATCAATTTTACCTCATAAGAAAGCAAAATAACTGAACTTAACTGAAGCCATGGTGATGGAGCGCTGGAATGCTTCCATCCTTCAATATCTGTTTTTTTTTTTCCATATAAAAAGTTAATACCTTTCTATTTATATATTTCAAAGAAAGTTATTGAGTGGAATTCGAGGCTTCCCAATCAGCATTTTAATACGTGAATAGATCATCCAAATAATTTTTTTGATAGGAAAACCAAATAAATTTGATTAGTATGAAATGTCATGATATGTTGCTCTTGTTTACTTATGTATGGGAGACTAAAAAGACGAACTTTTTAATTGCTTGCTTCAAACAAATTGTTGATACCATTTGATTGAAGCAATTATAAAACTAGATTTGACTAGTCTATTATTAAGGTTCTATCTGTTAAATTTAATGCAGTGAGATACCTATCCCTAGTGGCAGAAAACTTATTTCGTTTATTTCTCAAACTCAGTTCTGGTTTTTGCTTTTGCTTCCACGATGTCGAGTTTGGAGGAGCCACTTGGTCTTGACAAATTGCCAAGCATGAGTACAATTGATCGGATCCAAAGATTTTCATCTGGTGCTTGCCGACCTATAGGAAATGACATGGGAATGGGAATCTGCTGGATTCAAGGGGGGAGAAGTAGCTCATCCAATAGTTGCAAGTAAGCAGAGAATTAATCTCTTTTACATTGTTATTTTTGTAATCACTCTTCTCGTCATTCTTATTTAAAATATTAGTTGTCTCTGCAATGCTTAGGTTCACTTTTCACCAGTATGACAAATAAATTTGTGCTTCTTCTTCACTTTTTGATTTTATTTTAATTGAATCATTTTGATGTTTTTATTTTAACAGTGAATATGATGAGGATGCTAGAGAGACGTTTCCATGGAGAAGACATAGGAAAGACACGTCCCAAAATGGCTCCGTCAATCAGAGGACAATGAGCTTAGGCAGGAAAAACTCTCTATCTGGAAATTTTTGTGATTCACACTGTTCTCCAGGTCGTGATTACCAGACAAATAGTAGTGGGGACAATGTGCAACACAGGACAAAGGTGATTTGATATCCATTAGACCTGTATATATCTAATCACTCTTCTTTGAGAACCTTTGTAATAATCTACAGCTATTGAGAGGCGTTTCCTTCCAATTTCATTTGTTTTAACTGAATCTATGCGCTTCTATCTCCTTCCAATTGTTTTTCTTGCTCTACCTATCATATTCTATTTACTTCGCAAACTTCCACCAAATGATTTGGTGGTCTATGGAATCTATCTCTCATAGAGTGTTGACTTTTCTGATATTATTTTTAATATGGGCCTGCAGTTTTTTGGTGGTATGCCAAAGTTTGTGAAGATAGTAGAAGTTGGTCCAAGGGACGGGCTTCAAAATGAGAAGAATATGGTACCAACATCTGTAAAGGTTGAATTGATCCACAGACTAGTATCTTCAGGATTGACTGTTATTGAGGCTACCAGTTTTGTATCACCTTCACGAGTGCCTCAGGTAATTTTGGTACAAATTGTAGCCTTCTTTAGATTTTCTTAATAATACCAGAAATAGCCGCTTGAATTTCTTTTGAGTCTATTAGGAGTTTGTGCATAGTTGTCTTTAGTCGGAGTCTGACTGTGTACTGCAACGTCAATTGGGATATCTTTGTAGAAAAACCAAGCTTTTATTAAGGAAAAAAAAGAATACAGGTGGATCATAGAAAAGGAGAGATACTATACAACTAACTAACTAAAACGAAAGTTACAAAAAAAGGCTCCACAGACCTTGCCCACATACACTTACAAGGGATGTTTTAATCTTCGTTGTAGTCGACACTTACTAAAAGTTCACAAACTTCTAGAACTCTCATATTCCAAATGTTCTGTAAGACAAAAAACCTTTGGCACATCAAATGCTCACCCTTCGTCCCAAAATGTCAGGTGGCATCTGTTATCTTCTTTGTACTAATAGTAGTGGTTCGACCTTTTATAGTTTACACCACTTGATTGTTTCTGAGACAAACTAATGTTGCTGTGATTTTAATATTTTTTCCTTGGAACTTCTTCTCATTTAGGATTTTGAAGTTCTGATATCAACTGATTAGGAAATATGTGGCTTGAAGTTTTTTCTCTCCAAAGTTGACAAAATGAGATATTACTCACCATGAATTTCTTAGATATACGTTTGCTACCACTAGTGCTGCACATAATTCCTCTTGGTCCATGTATAAGTACTGTTCAAAAAACGTTTCTTTCCATGTAGTAAGTTTTATGAGAACTTAAATGCTTCCTCGGGAGTTATATGAGCTAAACTTAAATTTGTAAAATTTTTGTTGTCTCGTTCTTTGTCCAGTTATCTGATGCAAGTGAAGTGATGGAAGCTGTTCGCGATTTGGAAGGTGCCAGATTGCCTGTTTTAACACCTAATTTGAAAGTGGGTCATCATTTAAAACAATGTTGAACCTTTTTTTCCAAACGTGGAAAGTTGAAATCCTCTATTCTAAAACTTCACTACCTTCCAGGGCTTTGAAGCTGCTGTTGCCGCTGGAGCAAAGGAAGTAGCAGTCTTTGCATCAGCCTCTGAGTCATTTTCAAAGTCCAACATCAATTGTAGCATTGAAGAAAGTCTTGTTCGTTACCGTGCTGTAACTTCTGCTGCAAAAAAGCTTGGGATCCCAGTCCGAGGGTATGCTTCCATAAAAATCTAACTTGACATTGATCTGCATCAATGTCCACCAAAAAGAGAGCATGTTTTAAGATCAAAGAAAAAGAACTTTAGGGGATGTTTCTAGAATAATTCACGAAAATATGCCTGAATCAGTAAAGTTCTTTTTTCTTTATCATTGGCTTTAAGTAAGGACTGTTCCCTTCATATATGAAAAAACGAAAGCCGTCATTTTTCACCTTGTTATTATTTAAAAATAATATGAACAATGTAACTTAATTTATTATTATGTCAACAAGGCTTATCTCCAACCACAATGGACGGTTTCTAGAATAAGCTGCCACATTAAATAAAGAACATTAAGTACTGAGTAAATCGTATACCAGGACTTTGTAAATAGCCAATGATGAATAGTTCCCTTGAATATGGTTTAAAAGTTTGAGTACGACTTATTTTCTAGTATCATTTTCCTCCTCATTCTGTTCTTGGAGGGTTCTCTGATTGATATAACTGACCATGGATTTGAACAGGTATGTATCATGTGTTGTTGGTTGTCCAACAGAAGGAGCAGTTCCACCATCTAAAGTGGCTTATGTAGCAAAGGAACTTTATGAGATGGGCTGCTTCGAAATTTCTCTTGGGGACACAATTGGAGTTGGCACGCCTGGTAACAATCTAATCCGTCTCTCTCAAAACCAAAATATAGATAACTAAGTGGCAACTTGCATTACTATTTTTCAACTTTACATTCACGAGCATCTTACTACTTGGTTATGTTTTTTGTACTCAACATGAATGATACGAACATATATTTCTCTTACAATCACAAACATTGGTGTAACGGATTCTAATTCTATTGCTTTTGTCTATTTCCTCTCTTATCTTCTGTTGGCATAGGGACTGTTGTTCCGATGCTCGAAGCCGTGCTGGCTTTTGTTCCTGTCGAGAAGCTTGCTGTCCACTTCCATGATACTTATGGGCAATCACTTCCAAATATTCTAGTATCCCTCCAAGTAAGGCCTCTTTAGAAGCCGAGTTCTGTCCTAAAAAACTTCCTTTCTATATATGGGGATGCAAATTGGTTTATTAACCGGTGCTTGTTTCGTTTTTGAACAGATGGGAATTAGCACTATAGATTCCTCTGTTGCAGGCTTGGGTGGATGCCCATATGCAAAAGGAGCTTCAGGGAATGTTGCAACCGAGGATGTGGTGTACATGCTCCATGGACTTGGTATTAAAACCAATGTAGATTTGGCAAAGGTCATGTCTGCTGGGAATTTCATCAGCAATCATTTGGGACGGCCATCGGGTTCGAAGACTGCCGTTGCGTTGAACCGAGTTGCAGCCGATTCTTCCAAGATGTAACACATCTTAGTGATACATTTACAACTTACATTGAACAAGTAAAGAAGGGTTTCACTTCAAGAAACTTAAAAGTCTATATGCTGTGTTATCTGGCTGAATATGATGCAGCCATATACAGAAGTCCTCAAAGAACATAATTAAGTAGAAAATTTATGGCTGAATCCCCTCCATAATTTGAAGAGGATTTGGTTGATCCATTGTGTCAGCAGTTTGAATCGTTAAGGTGCTGTGATGTCACGGTGTATCGAGTATAATATATAGAAGTATTAAGATTCAGGTCACAGAGTGAACACTGTAGAAATAAATTATTCCTCATTAATTTGGGTATGGATAAAAAATTTGCAAAAGCATGCACAGAATTTTTTTTATTTACAAAATTGGTTTTTACGCTCGTTAATCTAGGATCTTTCAAACCGGATTATATCATAAACTTATGTAGCTGCCATTTCAATCTTGTGAAATTTTGTTTCTTAAGAAAAGTTTCATTAAAGAACCACATTGTTTTCAGATTAAGCTCATCTATAAATTGTTTTTTCATAAACTAAAACCTCTATGCAATGTTACCTCCAATCAGAAAAATAAGATCAAAATTGAATTGAAGCTACCGTGAGCATAGCTTAATCTTTTCTATAGATTGAAAGTTTGAATATTCACCTCTTTATTTATGATGTAATTGAGTTAAATGTAGCTTCTCAAGGATGCTACAATTATTTAATTTTCACTTCGTAGATAGACTTGACAACGATGTAATGCGATCATCGAACTTATAATAGTGTTCTTTCTAGTAGCAAGTGCGATTGAGTAAGTACCAAGAAATGTGGAAATATAAACCTATTTGAAGAATTCAGTGGTAAAATCCAATGTGTGATAGTGGAAGATGGTGTCTGAAAATTCCTTGAAAACAAAACTTAGCTGTTCCAAATCCTTGTTGGTAATTGAATTCCAATAAAACTCTTGAAAAATGTGGTCTATGGAGGCAAGATGATATATGAAATACATGAAGCATGAAGCACATAATCATACTAATCTACGGAACTGAATGCCTCCAGAAAGCTTCGAGCAGCATCCAAATCCAGTTCTTCATTAACCTGTATTCAAATTGATCATATCATATTCATTCTAATGTTGTAGACTGAAAATATATATATAAAATAAATAATCTAATTGTATGATATCTTCTGAATGACATACAAGTCTACTGTGTATCTGTTGAAATGAGCTACAGAATTTCTCTGCTTCTTCCTCGCCCACCTGTGTGGAATGAATAAGCAAACGAGTTGTTAGATACCAATATATACATTGTTCTTTTCACATTCAAACTAAGTAATAATGCAACGCATCATTAGGATGAAATGTGTAGAGAAATCCAGATATTTGCACTTAATTTAAATTGACGTTCGGTTGCATTCAATGATTTTACAAAATCTGAAACCGAATATACACACATGAATCTTTCTGCACCTCCAAGAGAATGTAACTAATCAATTGTGTAGAATTTCAACTCCATGCAAAATGGACAATTTCAGATCAGAATGCGTTGATGTAGATTGTTAAAAAGGCATGACAAGAATTTATGTTGACAAAAAGAACTTGTCGAACTTCCATTTTTATCAAATAGATTGTAACCAATGAGTTATAAACTTAATCATGAGGATTTGTAAGAGAAAAGGATAACTAAGTAACTATCTTGGGGGTTTTTACCCTAGTTCAGAATAAAATCCATTCTCGTAGCCCCGGCATATAATAGATTTGGGAATTAGATCATCATACTTAAATAAGAAATAGAACTTCATACCTTCTTCTCAGCAGCTAACTTTAGCTTCTTCCAGAATGCATCTGTTAGCAATCATCCAAAGATGTGATATTAGCCTAACTTCTGTTTAAAATACTATAAAAAATAGGAAGCTTTCCATAACAGGACCATTGAACTAATGCTATAAACTGAAACCAGAAAGGACAACTTCATGAGCGATTTAAGAAAAGAAAAACAGCTATACAAACGTATTTTAAAATGTTTTAAAAAATAATCTGGCATAAGATGAAAATAAAATAAAATAATATTCTCAAGATCAAATACCATGTAGGTCAAGTCCTTGGATCTTTGACTTTTCTTTATCTTCATTCCATGCATCTTGCCATCCCCCCACCTATGAATAGTTGAAAGCGTACAGAATTTAATAAACTAGCAATAAGAATATGCAAAAAGGACAGGGGGTCAGGACAAAGTATTTAATTAACCTCACACTTGGGTGACTTGGATGCTGACTCTCCACATAAGTCTGTCTCAGCCTGAAAATTTTATGAGATATTATGCGAACTCAAAAGGTGTCTATGCTACTAATAACAGTAACATACTCTTCATACGACATTTGATACATATCATTCAGAAAACTTCAAGACTGCATATTAGTCTCAACCCAAATGGTTTTCCCATGTCTTGGTTAATGTCTTCTTCAAGAAATGGTAAAACATCAAGATAAAAAACATAATCAAGAGGCACTTATTCACACACAGCTACAGAAAAGATATCTCTGCCAATCTTCTACAAACCAAGGTCAATGCATCTCCATCCCAATTATAAATGCAAAATTATAGTATTTTGGAGTTCGCATTTCTTCCGAATATAGGAATAAATATAAATTGAATATTTTTTACAACCCCCAAGGTTTGAAACCTTTTTGACGCACATATACTAAGAAAGAACTATTGCATTTTAAATTCCCCTCATGTTCAGTGTACACAAGGTGTGGGACCAAAATAAATGTTAGCTCTCAGTTTTCCAACTAAAAATTACCGTCCAACACAAACAAAATGTGCATCACTGACAAGTTTATCAGAGTCCATCATATGGGTGATACTTCAACAACTATCAGTGCGCATATATACTTCTCAGAGATACCTCATCCTTCCAGGCAAAAGTTTTCTATTTGCACAATGAAGTCGAACTACCAAAGAAGGAAAAGAAACTAAAGCTTCAATAATAGAACCAAACCATCAGAGGTTTTAGATATGGTATTTTATGGTTCTCACCCCCAGCAGAAACTGGTAAAGACTGCAAGGATTTTAATTTTCTTGATAAATAAAACAAAATTACATCAATATTACAAAAAAAAGAAGAAAAAAACAAAGAGTTACACTGCTATTAATCAAATGGAACAGAGCTCGTATTCAAACATCAAACTGCAATATCGGTTTCTCCTAGCATGTTTAATAATCTCACATTACTTCTCGTGCTAATGGCAGCAATCAGTATATCCAAGAAATTATGGCTGTATTTCATCAGCTCAATAAGTCAAACCAGTTTGTATCCCCAGTAGAACCTCTTTTGATTCGTTACCAATAATCAACACATGCAGGTCTTTTCTACGAAAGTGATAAATGACAACTTGACAAACAAACATTTCAGAATAATATCCCTATTCTTTTGAACCCAAAAACCACTGAACAAGTTATATCCTAAACATTAAAAAGTACCTAAACAAGCTTCTTTCAATAAGGGATGCAGGTACATAACTCTGCCTAACGGTGGCAAAACGCAACTACAACTGCGTGGGATCGGTACCTTCTACTTTTCTATACTATAGACATCATACATATTAAAAAAACCTCGCCCAAATACATTCTACAACGAGAAATTCATTTATTGTCAAACTGACCTATTTACTATCTATTATTTGATTGACTAATTGGCCTGGAGAATTCAGCCCTACCAACTATTTATCTTCATCATCTTGGGCCAATATAATGCATTAAATCAAATTGAGGAAGACCACCGGAGACCCAATACAAAAGAAGAGATTTATCCAAACCATGTTTCTCGAACCACAAACAAGAACACCCGAATCCGTCTAATCGTCGGGTGGCTAGTGACAGGAAATCAATCAATCAAAATATGATTGAAATCGAAATAGAAACTCTTATCATTTCTGTCGTTAACAAATATCAGGCTAGCTATGGAGGCGCAACATTTAACGATCATAAAATTTTCTAAGCTAATTACTTTTTCCAAAAAGACAGATATAACAGAAAGAGATGAATTGATACATGAAAGTCTCGAGATCGAACAACGGGAAATAGATGAAGAAGTCGACGAAATTCGAACTCATCCATGGTTGTCTTCGGATCTACGTGACGTCGAATTGATCTTTTAATACCTTACGCTCTGGAAAAAATTCGGTAACTGGGCTCAATCTCAATGCCTCTTCAAAATTCAGATTTGTCAGGGAAAAAAAATGAGAAAATGCACTCAGGGTTTCCTTCTTCGATTCATAATTTCATTTCCTGTTGGACCGGTTCTTAGACCGGGAAGGTTGTCCTCGATGTCTCTCGAAAATTAGAGAATTTTTCTTCTTCAAAATGTTATTTTTATTAAAAATTAATGTGTCATACAATTTAATTAATTATATTATATTTTAAAAAATATAAATAGGGGAGAAAACTTAGAATGGAGGCAAAGCAAAAGACAGATTAAAAATCGTCTTAAAAATATTGTAATTATTAATAATATAGACTATATATAGGTGTTTTTAATAATACTAACTTATTATTTTTATTTTTCAATTTATTTAGTTAGGCAGGTACCGTTTTATTTATTTATTATTTTATTTTTAATTCAAAAACTTTATTTATTTATTAACTTTTACTTTTTACTTTTGTTTTCTTATGAAAACTTTATATAACCTCTTATGTATTTTAGTTACATTAATTTTTTTAAGGAAAAAAAAAAAGAGAAAGGCTAGCTTAAAATAATTGTTTTTTGTATCCTCTTTTCCAGTCGATCCTTTTTGATCCAAGAATTTCTCAAATTGTTGTGGACCATCATTTTTCGATCCAAAAATTGCTCAAATTGTCTTAAAACTATCCTTTCTCTCTCATTTCCCATTTAGGAAATTAATATGAAAGAAAAATCTAATTGTCTATTAATTTCTTAAATTGTAAAGTAATATAAGCCATCCATAACAAATGGGCCCATTGTTATCTAAATTTTAGTATTTATTCTATTTTAGTCCATAGATTTTAATTTCAACTTTGTTCTTGTCATTAGATTTATGTCCTTGTAATAAATTCTTCATATATAGTTAAGGGTTAAAGATGGTAATGAAAAAAAAAGTCATTTATGTAATATATATTTGGAGTTTTTGTGACATATACTTTTGATATTAACATTTTCATTAAAGAACATGATTTTTATAAAATCCTTAAAGTTTGTTCTTACTTCGAACTTAACCATGTACCGTTTTTTAATTATATAGCCAGTTTTTGAAATTCGTCACAAAGTTATACATGTTTCTATGTACAATGCGTTAGGTTTATGATATTTATCTATGTCGTTCAATGTATTTTCTCTCTTTTTCGATCAATTTTGATACTCTCTACATTTCCTCGACATTGTCCATTCTTTCCTCTAACATTTCTTGACATCTCAACAATTTTTTGACAAATTGAGAAACAAAAGTTTAGCCCCAATAGAGACTAGTACAATTTTTAAGAAAAGTTTTCGAACTTGTGTAAAATGTTGGAAAAAAAGTTTCTTCCTTTTCTACTTCTCTTTTCCAACTTTCTAAAAAGATAAATAAAAGTATTATTTTATCACTTATAAAAGGTAGAATAAATATTATTATGTTAATTTCTAAAATTTGTGTTAGATTTTTTTAGAAACAAAGGTTAATTTTCATATAAACAATTTACTTTTAATAAATTACATGATTTTTTTTGGAACTTTTCCCCAATCCCCACAAATTTCCGTACAATGACATGGTTCAGGGCCATCTCAAAACGGGACCATAATATTCAATCATATGACATTAATTATACACAAAACAAAACCCCAAAAAGGAAAAATGAAACGCAACTTTCTACATCACTCAAACTACAAAACCCATTCCCTCAATTCCGAAGGAATAAAAATAACAGAGACTGAATTACTTCCTAATTTAGTATGCCATATGTGAATAAAATGTTAATAATAAAACCCAGATTATCAAATCTATATATGAAACAAGGATATGCTAAATTTCATTGAATTGCAATAACTGATTGATTTCAGTGGCGTTTCTTACCGCCACCCTTTTTCTTACTTTTATTCTTCTTTTTCCCTCCCTTCCTTCTACCTTTACCGACCATATCGTTTCCAAAGTCGGTATTCCTAATAGGAGCAAAGTCAGTATTCCTAGTAGGAGCACGGTGTAGTAGATGCTTGACATCAAGCACTCCATTTCTAAAAATGCCTTCGCTCGGCCTAAGAACCTGGTCCTCGGGCTTGCGCTTACCCATAGATCTTCTAGAATTATTGCCACTAGATTGTCCAAGATTCAAACGCTGCAAACAACAGAAGGAAATGTAGGCAAAAAAAAACATCAATCATGAAAGTTAACTATCTTTTGGATTTCCTTACCTCTTCCATCATCTTTTGTTCTCTTTCCTTCTGTTTCTTCATAATTGGTCGTGCTACACTTAGAGGTAGTTTTTGTTTCTTTTGAGGCTGCACCATAGAAAAAGGATTGATGTTATTAAAGCAATAGATATAAACTTAATAAATTGCATTCATTCAGGATGCCATAAGAAATTGAGCCTACAGAATGCATATCCATAGTCGTACCTTTCCACCCAGAGAGACAATTTTTCTGTTCTCAATCTCCTTTTTGTCTTTCCATGACATATGAGAGGAGGCTGAAATAAAGAATGTGAAAACAATTAGAAACTTGGTAATTGAACCTTTTTTTTTTCATTTCTTTCTACTCAAATCCCTGCCCCATAACCGATAAGCACTCAAAGGGTGAGGACAAACAGTTCAACACCATTTTTTTAAAGGGAAACAGGATCATTTCATTAATGTAATGAAATATACAAAAGGTAATGAGGGTTACAAAAATCCCCTCCAATTAGCAAAAATATAATAGAGTAATTACAAAAAGAATTTTCTAGTTTAACTCCAATGGTTTGGTTCAAACCAATTTCTAAAGTCAAAGCAAGTGAAACTATTGATACACTACGGGGGGTGTAATTATTATGATCATGAAGGTGTTTAAAAAGAAATTTGTACACAAACGGAATTTGAAAGGAAGTAGGAGGACGCAAATTAAATATAGTTCCAACATTTATTCAATTTCTTTGGAGTTTTACATCAAATCTCAGGTATGATTTCTAAAGCCAAACAACTGAGTTCTTCGCTATATACTCTTGCACTACAATAATTAGTACGGACAACAAGTACAACACTATATACTCTTCGCTATTCCGTGCGTTTCACAAAGGCCAACAGAAAACCATAGAAGAAACGAAAAATTAACCCAGACCTTTCATACGGACTCAAGAATTTCAGAAAGAAAAAGTAATCTCTAACATCATCAATAGGGAAACAATTGAAATAATGAAATTCGGGCTAAAGATGTATGTCCGAAAAGTAAACTGAATTCTGAGGGAAAAAGTGAAATTACTCAGAAAATTAATTTCTTTCATGATATTTCTGATATTCATGTCAGGTTCCACATCAGTCGAGCAACTCGATGACCCCATTCTCGTACTTTTATCTCTGAAATGCATTTTATCACTGCAAAACAAAGAATTTTGAGGTCAAGAAAAATAAATAACAAAACGAAGGGGGAGAACAGATGGAAAACAAAACACAAGCTAAAACAGGAAATAAATCGCGCGAAATAATGAAATAAACAAACAGATTATTCAATTCGATGAGGAAAGTAAGATACCTGCCTGTTGGAGTTGGTGGAGTTTCAGTAGGCAAGGCAACAATGCCCTGATTTTGGCTGATTCTTCGGTTGTCGTTTAGAGCGTTAACTCACCCGATTAGAACACTCAACCGAATCCGAACCAGTTCTAATCGAGATCTCTCTCTCAGTCACTCATGGCAGAAGGCATGAACGACGAAACCTCGTATTGAAGTGAGTGCGTACGGCGTGCGTTAGAGGAGAGCGAAGGAGACTGAGAGTTCACCCAAAAAAGAAAAACCCTAGACATTATGCATTTCAAAACGACGTCGTCCAGCTGCCACCTCGAATTTCCATCTAAATTATTAACAGAAGTTTGTTTAAAGAAAGTTATTTTTGAAAACATTTATGGATATTTTTTGTCATTTAAATTATTCCTTAATTTATGTAGATGCTTTCAGTTTCAACTCGAGAACCACTCGAAAAAACTTGGGTATTCAAATTAATTTATGTGAGTAGTGAAATTATGATTAAATTATCATTTAAATCTTTCTACATTCAAATTTGTTGATGGACAAGATCTTAGACTTATTAGACAGTTTACCTTTTAGAATTTTTTTTAAAATAACCTATTAGACATACCTTGAAAATTCATAAACAAAACTTATAATTTCACTAAAAATTATTATTCACTTGAAATTACACCGTCGTCATATTTTCAAATATAGCAACATTATGATTCTCCAATTATGATAATTTTTAAACGTAAGAAAACATAATACAACTTTCCTCCATCTATGTACCTCGACATTTTAAACTCTACAAAAACATTTTTAATTAATCAAAAGATTTTTTTTTAATTTTTCTTGGCACTAGTCAAAAGTGATCTATTGAACCATTGTTGGTAATTTATTGGACCCCAAAGAACAGCTTTCTTTCATGCCAAGAGCTTGGACATTTAAAAATATCGTCTGAAGGCTTGGGATCAAGCTCTCAAAGAGAGAACATAATAATTTAAAACCTTTGCGACTCGACATTGGGATTAGATGAAGCCTCTTCGATAATTAAACAAGGATCATTGAGCATAATGCAAGGAGCAGATCGCTCAATACGTGATAGCTTGCAACTTACCGGACAATTTTCGCTCTGGCTCTGGTTCTCGCTCTGTGGATTATTTTGTACTAGAGAATACAAGATCAATGTAATGGCATTTCAACCTTTTTCTCTCAAAAAGAGGCTCCAAAGTTTAGAAGTACTATCCAATGTCATCATAATTATTTTCTAATTATTTTGGATTGAAGTGCAATCTCTAGCCTTCCTGGACCTTATCCTGTTGGAGGTTTTCAAGTTTCTCAATGCAGGTCTTCAACAATGATTTAGCAACTTCATTTTTCTCAATCTCGCACAGATGAAGAAGCTCGGCTTTAATGCCAATGTCTGTCCGCTCGACCGAGGGCAAGTCAGTGTACAGCTTTATTATCTCAAGTAGGCATTCTGAGGCATTGATGTGAACCTAAATTTGATAAAGAGGTCACACATAAATAAGCTTATGAAATCATATGAACTTCTACTTGGGTTGAATATGAACCATTAGCTCTTCAAATTTTGAAGTTTCGAAAGGCAAAAACTTAACCATATGTCACACTGTCGAGTCTAAGTTTAATTTAAAAGTAAAACAAATAACAAACCTGAGCAATCTTGACGGTGGTTATGCACTGAACCACTAAAGGTGAGACTGAATGAGATAACTGCATACGAGAGGGGGAAATTATTTTAGAGGTTTTACAGTAAAAAACATATTGCAAATAAAAGCAATTAGTTCACCTCAAGAACAAAAGAAATGGTGCTATCAAACTTGGGTTTCTCTTGGAATCCGTGCTGCAAGACCTCATGAAACCTTGAACAGAGTTCATTGATTGACAAAAATGTCGAAGTTTTCACTGAAAGTGACAATTACGGTTTAAACATCAATGAAGGGAACAACAGGTTTAAACAAGAAGTAGAGAGACGAGAAGAAATTACCAGTCCATCTGAAGCCATTAGACAAAGATGTAGTTATCAAATACAGCAAGTTCTTCTGTTGTTCAATAACATCATCTAAATTAGCCACTTGGATGGAAGATGTCAAACAATTTAAAATTTTCTCTCGGGTAATCGAAATTTCTCCTTTATCATCAGAATCTGCATAAAGAAATTTAGGTCACAATGTGATCAAAATTTGTAAACCCTCATGCAAGTTGAAGAGCATAAATCTATGACAATACAGGCAGGCGCACACAAGCAACAATATGTGACGACAACAACATAACTCCTAGCGCAATAAAAGTAGCTGCTGCTATGCCTTTGCTATCTTCTTTCCTAGGCCTTTCTCACTGGGCGAGCACATCCAACTTGAAAGTCCTTTCCTAAACCACTTCCCGTTCGTCTTCCTCCTAGTGAGTAGCTGCTGCTATGCCTTTGCTATTTTCTTTCCTAGGCCTTTCTCACTGGGCGAGCACATCCAATTTGAAAGTCCTTTCCTAAACCACTTCCCGTTCGTCTTCCTCCTAGTGTTGTTGCCCACTGAGGGAAGAAAAGTTAAGTGAGTTATCCTTCCAAGATCAGAGAAGGTCAAACTCTAGGTGAGTTGTAGGATATGGATTTGTCTGCAGATGATGTGACGTAAAATTCTGGCTTGATGCACTTAGCAAGAGGGAACTCTCATGATGATGAGAGAATTCCCTTCGTAATTAAGCAGAATCCTTGTTTTGAGTAGGGGCGTGCCAGATCAACATAATTTCATAATCATTCGGTACTGAATGCTACATGAATAACATAAGCCGGACGGCAAAAGACTGGAGGAGATCCAAGTATCAAGAAACTCAGACTCTCATTTGTAGTGGTTTTCAATTCAAAATGAAGATAAAACCAAGTGGCTGAATGTAACCAAGCCAAATTTATAGATAATTTGGTTGGAAAGGAATAGGAGAATATGTTTTAGGACAATAATAGAAATACCGAAAAAGAGCTCTAGTTCATCAACAAGATGCAGGATAATAATAGAAATAAAGAAAAAGAATATGTTTTAGGACAACTTTCTATTATTACGTTTTAGGATAATAATAGAAATACCGAAAAAGAAACTATAGACTCTTCACAGAAAAAGAGCTCCCATTCGCTAGACTCTTTGACAATATCATTTTTCTTGCTATGTCTTGGTGAAAAGCATCTAAAGTATTTGACTCTTATAGTATGGTTTCTCTTTTGACCCACTGGAGAAGTCTCATGTAACTCCTTTGGTTTTTGGGTTGTAATTTCACTCATCAATGAAATTGTTTCTTAACAGAAAAAATAAAAAAATAATAGAAATACCGAAGGATGATATAGTTTCATTTTCTGTGGCCTAGCCTCCTCTTGGAGCTCTAGTTATTTTCTCTTTTTCTTTTCCTTTTTTAAAATTTATTCTCCAGCCATTATTTCCTCCAATCAGAGTGTTTTCCTGCAATTCCTTTGGATAAAGGATTTCCCCTTCATTGTATATTACTTTCATCAACGAGACGCAGTTTCTTAAATCTTAATTTTAGATACTAAAACAATCCCAAGGTTCAAAAGAAGCATCAAGTACTTTTTCTTAAGTCTTCTGATAGGACTCAATTTGAAAGGTACCGATTACAGTAGCTTCTTCTCGTACTACAATCCCCATTTGGGAGTGCCTTGCTCTCCTATACCCAATACTTCCCAAAAAGATTGATACTCTACTCATGCCCACAGTACATGCCCACTCTCGCTTTTCTGACTATCTAATGTTATCAATTCTCCCTTTTACCCCTTCTTACAGTAGTACTCCAGACCACAAAAGACACCTTTCTCCTCAAGGTCAATATCCTTGATGTAATTACCAACCCATTAGTTTTATTAGTTATTAATTAAAGGCTGAAGTTAGTTGGTTAGCTGTTTTTAGTTAGTTGGTTGGCTGTTTTTAGTTAGTTCTTGTTAAATGTCTTTAGCCCTCTTCTATAAAAGGGGCCTGCTGACTTCATTTGTTGGGTAGTTTTTTCAATCCATAAAATTCTATCTCATTTGGTTTACATCAAATTGGTATAAGAGCATCCCGATTTTCTGGGTTGTATGGCGAGAAAGAAGTCGATCAACATTGGTGACTCTTCTCTCGTCAAAAAAGAAGTGGAGAAAGCCTCTATTCTCTCGCCACGATCATCAACCGCACGCTTGCTGTCGGTTGAAGGAAAGGTGAAAACCATCCTGCAGGATGTCGGCGAGATTAAACAAATTTTGGAGATCATCCATGACAAACTCGAAGCAATGAGAGTACAGCAAGCTACGGTTAGAACTCCTCAAAATTATGCAAGATTGGATCAAGAAATGTGGATGGAGGATCAAAGGACTAATTACCTGCCGGAGAGGTACCATACACCACCAAGAAGAGTCCAAGAAGTCAATCGGAGACCAAGAAACCTCCAAGAACAGCACCTTGTGCAGCCTAGAAGGTACCAAGATTATGTTCTTGAATCAAGAATGCTCCAAGAATCGAGAGCTGTCCGGCAAGACTTCAACCAAAATCTTGGAGTTTGTACGCCAAGAAGGTACCAAGAAGGTTCAAGCAACAATGTTGGAGTTTGTACGAATTTTAACAAATTAGTTTCATACAAGACAGGGGTATTTTGCCACCAAACTCCAAACAACAGCCATGAAATTTTTCTTTCTTCTTTTCCAAAACTCCCAACTGGAAAACAAAAACCCAAGTGCTACCTTAACCAAGATGGGAAGATTTTGCCACCAAAAGAGTGAAGACACTTCAAATGATTTCATAAGACCAACAAAAATTTCAGAGGATGCAAGAGGTAACTCAATTTTGCCTCAAGTTGATGCCTTCAATGTTGATTTCAAAAATTCTGGAATCCAAAACTCTTCTCAGATTGAGGCAATTGAACAAGAGGATGAGTTTTTTCTTAAGTTTGAAAATTATTTYGAGGAGGAAGATGAGGTTGATAAAGAATTGATAGGAAGATATGATGATTCTACTTTTTCTTTGGCTACATTGTTCTTTGAAGTTGAAATGCAAGAAGTTAACCGGCACAATTCCTTAATTTCTCAAAAAGGCTTCCAAATTGAGCAAGAAAATGAGAAGGAGAAAGATGAGGAACAAACTACAAAGTTTTTCCACCATGATAGACCTCAAGAAAGCAAAAACAATGGGTTCTGGGTTCAAGAATTTTGCCGTGGGTTTGTAGATTATTTCGATGATATTGAAGACGATTCTCATAGGAGTGCAAAGATTGAAGGAGATGAAAGAAGCTTGAAGCA